GGGGTCCAAAAATTGTTTACTTTGACGGACCCAAAGACATTGTTACAATTTTTGTTTCCCCCCCGTTCTATCAATTTTGTACATAACCGGCGGTAATTTCCTAATATACGATTTTTTGACCCCCCCCCTTCCTATCAATTTTGTACATGGATTTCACATGTAACACTCACCCGGACCAAATATAACGCCCGGTCTGGATTTAACGCTACAGCGGGATATAATGATCCTCCCCTCTTATGACGTTTTGTCGTTTTTTTCTGTCACTTTCATTTGTTGGATTTAATGATCCTCTCCTCTTAATACGTATAACTGAAAACGCTAACGTTTTAACGTTTTTTTGTATTTTGAATTGTATCAATTTTTACATCTTCCTGACAAAAGTGAATTGTAGATTTATATAGGAATTTTTACCAGGAACACTGCACCCATATTTTAGTTCAAAAGTCAAAACAAAACTGTACTACAGTTTCTAAACAGAATTTACAAGGCTGAATATTTTTAAATGAAAATGATTTTTGAAGATCTAAAGGGGAAAATGAAAAATTAGACATGTAAAGGCAAGATATTTTCATCTTGTTTCATACTTTTATCCAAAAATTTATTCTTTTTTCCCTAAAATCAGTTATTTACCGCAATTCAGGGAATNAAGAGGAGGGGGGTTAATGATTTATAGAAAAATATCCACCCCTGAGAATTTTAGCAATATCAGTGCTGTTTAGTTTGTTTGTACTCCCCCAAGAAACTAGTACACTATTTGAATCTCGTAACAGTGTTCTTTGTGAATCTTCCTAACCTCTGATATTTTCTTTCATTTTTCATATAGCCCCCCCCCCCCTTCACACAACGGTTAGACAGACAGCCCACGGCTAGACGGTATAAGATGACCTGCGCTGTTCAGGCGCTGGATATGATCCTTGACCTGGAACCTGACGATGAGCTGGAGGATAACCCAAACCAGTCCGATCTCATTGAGCAGGCAGCAGAGATGCTCTACGGTCTTATCCATGCAAGGTATAGAGGTAGCTCTGAGAACCTGGAACAATTGATCAGCATTGCCATTTTTTTGTTTCAGGGTTTTGAAGGTTTTTCAACCCTTTTTATTACATCAAAAGTAAAGCTCTTGATATGGGTTCTTAAAATTGGGGGGNTTTCCTGGCTTCTTTGTTTAAAAGGGAAACCTCTGAACAGTATTCTTTGTTAAGATATATCCTAACTAACAGAGGGATTGCGCAGATGATCGAGAAATATCAAGCTGGAGATTTTGGACACTGTCCTAGGTATAGTTTAAATATTCCTAAAGGGAGTGACCGGCAATGTATGTTGAACTGAGATTGCAGTATTATGGGGAAATTTTTTAGGATTCATTTGAGAACAATCATACGTTTTTACAGTGCATATTTGTTCAGCAAGGGTGTAAATTCAAAAGTTAAAATCCTCATTGGTTGTTCATTTTGGAGGGATGATTTTGAGAATTGGTTTATTTAAATTATTCAAAAACGACAAAGCTAAATGTAACAAAATTTCTACAGTTAACTTATTAGATCTTTATATTGCTTTTCTTATTCTTAATGAATATGTTTGCAGATTTCTACAAATTCTTCTATTGTCGTCCATTAAAAATTCTAGGAAATCTACAGAAAATGATTTTGAACATTTAGACATTACAGAATCCAATAACTGAATATGATTACTTATTTCGATGATAAAAGTTAATTTTTATTTTCTCAACCTGTTCCTGAAACAACTGCGCCAATTCCTGCCATGAAAATACGCCAAATAGAATATTAAACCGGTTTTTTGAACTCAACTCTGTAGAAAATAATATGCAGCTTGAATCCGGAAGCTCAGAGCTGAAAACTTTAGAATGGTGGATATCGGGATTAATGCTTAATCCACTCTTTTTCTTAATCTTGAGATTAAATATTGCTTGTTCTCCTCTCATTTTTAATCTCCAGATTAATTATCCGATCAGGATTAAGGATATCCCATTCTAAAGTTTTCAGCTCAGGCCGTAAATAAGGCCGAGATTTAAGACCCGAGCTGTATTTTCCCGAATTTTCTAAATCGCGGGCTCTGATAAATTGTAGTCATTGAAAAAGTTAAACAACCGATTCTCAAAATTCTCTCTCCAAAATGGAAAATCTATGACAATTTTAGAGATTAAATTTGCGTTCTTTGCATATGATTAAATATTTCTCAATAATACTGCAATCTCAGTTCAACTAACATATAATGCCGGTTACTCCCTGTAAAGATTCGGATCCATGGATTTTTTTTCACAGCACAAGCAAGAATAGGGCTGATATTTGTAAATTCCAAAAATCAAACTGACGTTGTTTCCATGGGATTCCAAGACACTTATGAGAATATTATGCTTAAAACAGGAAACTATTCCGACATATACAAATAATTTTGTTTCCAGGGTATACTGTGAAAACCAACCGATGCTCCCAATTGGATTATCAGATGTTCCAGGAGAAGCAATGGTTAAACTATACTGTCCCAAATGTATGGATGTTTACACACCCAAGTCATCAAGGTAACTTGGTTTTCCCACCTTTTGACCAACATTATCGACCTAAGATTCACCCAACAGAGGGAAGTTAAGTTACTTAACGTCCCTTGGGACAGTTATGGAACATAACCACCCGTTCCGCGAAGTTTACGACTGTCCATTTTCATCTTAAAAGACGATAAAGTTTTGAAAAACTACTTTTCGGGAAATTACAAATTTACTTAACCACGGGTTCCCTCGACCAATTTAGCCTACAAACATCACTTGCTGCACTATGGATGTTAAGTAGGCAAAATTGGTCTTGGGAACCCTTGGTAAAATAAAATTGCCTTAACTTCCATGGAACGTAGTTGTAAATATTCATTATTGCTAAATATAGGCTCCTCACAATTATTAATTAGAGGGATGGAGGTGGGGGGGGCCTGGCCCCCAGCCTGTCCCAGCCGCGGCGCTCGGCCTCCTAGCCGCAGCGCTCGGACCAGAAATTTTTCTTAATCTAACTTAACCCTAAAATATTACAAAATTACTTAGAATTATATACATGTTATACATATGAGATCCATGAAAATATTGATATGAGGGGGGGGGGGTCCAAAAATCGTTCTCTAGCACAGACTTCTATCGAAATTTTTCGCCGTTATAGAAAAATTACCTTGTTTTGTGTATATAAGTCATAGAAAAGTTCAAATTTTAGCACCCCCCCCCCTTCTCCCAGGGTTGGGGAGGGGGTTATTGAAAACATTTCATCTGCTAGAATGCCATGTTTTGAAATGTTTGAATCATAAATTGATTAATAAATGTTGTCAGCTTACTTTACTGTCATTACTGAATTTACTTTACTTTAAAATTAAAACATGAAAATTGTGTCATTTATCAAATATTTACGATTTCCACATAAATAAATGATGCTCTATGTAAAATATTAAAATCAAAATGTACGTGTCTTTGATATATATATATATAAAGTTTACTTTGTTGTTTTTGTATTTTTTTATCAATAAAAAGATTTGAATAATAATTAATTGATTTTCTTTAAATGAAGGGTCACTTTAGGTTGCGGGAATATAACCTTAATCTCAATAATAAGAAATTATTCGCTTTAATGTAGTTGTTGTTTTCAGTTATGAGACAGTTTGCTTAACAGTGTGGATTATTCCTCTCTAGTTTTCCTATACAGTCAATACGTCTGCTAAGCGGAAAATGTCAAGCTCGGAGGAAGTGAGTTGGATCTCTTGGTTCTGCGGACTCCGGGGGAATGAGTTTTTCTGCGAGGTGGATGAGGATTATATCCAGGTATGTCAGGAGACACGACAGTTTGCTCGCAAACCGTTACATTAGAAATCTCAATCTTCATATAATAGCGTGTTATGTTAAATTTTTCTTTGTGTTAATCTTAACCATTAGATGTTGCCAGACGCGCTAATGTAAATGATTTAAAGCAAATGATCGTAGTTCAGATGCATTTTTTACAGAAATCTTCGGTTTCAAATCAATTATGGAGGGTGTGTGGCCCTGGCCGGTCAATTTATTTTCTATTTTTCTCATCTTTATTAACGCTCTATGCAATTCAAATTAGGGTGAAACACGAATGGGGTCAAAATAATTTGGGTGTGTATGTTCTTTGGTTGATATGACCCAATATGAGCAATTTGGGATCATTTTAGGTTGATCGGAACATTGCATAAATTGGAAATTGTTTTCGGTTTTTCGGCAAAATCTAGATTTTGATAAAGTCCGATTCCAAATTGTTTTTTACGGCCACAATGGAGGCTGCATGCAAAATTTCAGCCTTTTATCTTAATTTTTAATTTCCACCTAAGTGTTCGTGTCACCCTAAATTGATTTTGTTTACGTTTCTCATAGTTTTATAGACATTTTTTTCTAAACGATTGATAATGAATTATTTCTGATTTCTTGTACACATTTAGGATAAATTCAACCTGACCGGCCTAAACGAGCAGGTTCCCCACTACAGACAGGTAGGACCTAAGGTTTATATCTCATTTTATTTATTTATTTTTAGACGATTTTCGTCATAATTCGTAACACGTTGTGAATATTTACCTTTCGTGGTCTTAACGCTTATTAAAAAAACATACTTATTGCATGATATAAAACATCTTTTGGGGTTTGAAACTGAGAAGTAATTTAAGATTTAAGCTGAGGCTAAACTTAAGTCTTAAAGAGTGGGGTTTAGGAGAAAATTTATATTTGCTTTCCCTTGTCATTTTCATATTTTACAACATAAGTTAATTTGCTTCCCTGACTTGCCCCAATTCAACAATAAAGTCTACATCTTTACAACTCAATGTCACACACCTCTGATATTTCAAACTAGGCATTCTGTTAGATCAAATAATCTAAGCTTGAAAGGTTTACATCATCAAGTTGCAAAAATATTGGGATTAGAAAATTTGAGTCGGTGACAATAACTCATTTCCTTTTTTCCCTTGTACATAACTGATTATTCCCTTTATTCCCTTGTACATAACTGTTTATTCCCTTGTACATAACTCTGTCTAATTCCAACCTTAACCCTTTAAATTTTCTAATAGCATGTTACATTTTTGTCGTTTTAATCTTTTTCACTTTCATTTGTGGAATATTATCCTCCGGCTCCTCTTTTAACGTTTTTTCGTTTTTTTTTACTTTCATTTGCGGTGTCACGTTAAATAAGGCCCGGGCGTTATATTTGGTCCGGGTGAGTGATACATGTGAAATCCATGTACAAAATTGATAGGAGGGGGAAGGGGGTCAAAAAATCTTANAATTGTTGTGAAAGTTACCATCAAACAAGCTTGCCGTTTTCCATACTTGAAGTTTCAAAAAATAAAGTCCTGGTTCATTTTCAGGCACCACCACACAGACGGAGGATACTTTGGTACTGGGTTCCCCCACATGCTGTTCATGGTGCACCCTGAGTATAGACCCAAACGTCCGGCGAACCAGGTGAATTCTTCAAACCGGTTTTCAAGATCATTTATTGTTTGCGTAGATCCGACTTCTAAATCCGTGTTAAAAAGGATTCAGTTCCGGAATCCGTCCTGTAGCGGACACATCCGAATCCGGCTATAATATTTTAATTTCTATAAATATCATTTTGTTTTGCCGAGTAATGGTTATTGGTTATATCGCTATTTTTTAACAAACTTTTTTGAAGTTATGTTTTTTCGGTGTTAAGTTTTGGATTACTTAATAATTTTGGATCCGGAACCTCTTATAAAGGCAGCCAGGTAACTAGTGTATAAGTGCTGACTGCAGATCCAGACTGTAAGTACGGATTAAACCCCAGGAGTTAAATAGTTTTTTAAGTTTCATAATTTTTTTTCAGTTTGTTCCTCGTCTCTACGGATTCAAGATTCATCCTTTGGCTTATCAGATCCAACAGCAAGCAGCAGCTAACTTTAAGGTACAAATCCGCCAAATAATTTCTGAGAATGGGACTAAAAAGCTTAATTCAGAATTTCTAACATTTGTTAGGACATGATTTTTCGTTTAAAATATAAAATATACATCGGGAGTTGAAATATAGAAGAATAATTTTGGTCGTATTCATGAACTAACTTCGGTTTCTTTTCAGACTCACGACACTAAACCTGGACGTCGTTAATATCCCCCGGAGCTGAAAACTAATCATCCTTGTATCATCTCGGGTTCAAGTCTCAAGAGCAGTCGAAGAAACTCCCCGGAGAACCTGTAACCTGAAACTTAATCTTGCGCTGAAATCCCATGCAACGCATTTCACCTTCCTAGCAAAAACAGTTATAAAAAGTTTTATCTAAAATACGAACTACGTACACCCCTACTCTCAGTCCCGTAGGAGATTTGTTAAAGGTCAAGATAATCATAGACTTGGATCAAATGATTCGTTTTCATTTTTTTCAAGCTATGTAATGTATAACCTGTTATTTTCCAGATAATCCTACAGAATCCGGCTCCTAGTTGATAGTCCAGATCCTGAGGACCATATCCGGATACTCTAGGACCCGGTTCCTAGTCGCTAGCCCGAATCCTGAACGATGTATCCGGATACTCTATTGGACCCGGTTCCTAATCGCTAGCCCGAATCCTGAACGATGTATCCGGATACTCGAAAGGACCCGGTTCCTAGTCGCTAGCCCAAGTCCTGAACGATGTATCCGGATAACTTTATTTCCATAGTTCCAAGGTTTCTTGTAACTCTCTGTTCCGTTTTCAGCATTAAAACAATTATTATTTGTCCGGGTTTGTGAACAGAGTGTTCTTGAAGCCCTGGAACATATTACTTTACTGTAGCTTCATTAATTAACTTGGAACACCTCAAAGGATGATTTTGTCTAGGTCGGTAATTATAGAAACAATTTTTTTCAAGTGGAACTGAAAGACTGCGCAGCTGCGTAAATCTGTGTGTAAATGATAATTATATGAAGTTTGATGTGTCAAAATAAAAATAAAATAACAACAATTGTTGGCGGTGTAATTATTTCCCTCATTTATTTCAGATCAGAATGAACTCGATAACATTTTTGTCCAGGGTTCATAGGTCCCTTAGAGTACCCTCGAGGTCGACTGGGATTGGAGAGTTGTCAAATAAACAGATTTTAAGCTCACGAAGTTTAAGCTCCGTTGTTAGTTCTTCAAGTTCAGTTCAAGATGAAACGAAGCTGCTGAGAGAACTTAGTGCAAAGATAAGGCATGAGCTTTTTAACTCAAATCGGTGATATTCAACATTGCCAACAAAATTAAACAAATTGGTTTGAAAGTTCATCTGGAATTTACCTTCTAGTTTTCGAAAAGTTCGATTTGTTGGTCAAATCTATAGAACTATGAATTCATGTATTTTTATGTAATCTCAGACGCATTTCGGTTTCCTGGATCCGTCCCTGTGGTAAATATTTACCAAATTATCTGGGGATAAACTAATTGATCTTAAAACAGACTTATGATTTGACTTTGTATAATTGAATTCTCAAAAGGTGCTTAGAATCCGAAACATTTTAGTTCCCTGGATCCGTGTCAGTGGTAAAATATTGACCAAATTATATAAATAAAACATATTGTTTGGTCTCAAAGCATGGGTCTCAGTGTTATGTTTAAATCAAGTTTAAATGATAGAGAGAATAATATTACCTACAATTTTGACAAGAACTTTACTAAAGATATACGAATGAACTGTTATCGGAATATTATGGTGATTACATACGACCTAGAGAAAACGATGCTTGACGTTATCAAACTTATTTTTGTTTGAAGGTTCTCTGGCCCTATCACAATAGCAGAATACATGTCAGAGGTTCTAACCAACCCCATCCAGGTTTTACATTTTTTATTAAAACATAATCAAGTTTTTGATCGTAACGAATCCTATTAATATTATGATCGGAGCCTTGTTGTTTTCATTATTTATCATGACTGAATCCCATTCTGGTTCTGTAATTTATCATGACTGAATCCTATCCCGGTTCTGTTAATTATCATGACTGGATTCTATCCTGGTTCTGTTATTTATCATGACTGAATCCTATCTTGGTTCTGTTATTTATCATGACTGATTCCTATCCTGGTTCTGTTATTTATCATGACTGAATCTTTTCCTGAGACCGAATTTAAAGAATTTGAGCTGCGGCTAAAATTAAAGCCACGGCTCAAAAATTGTTGGTTCCACTTAAAATCCTATTCATTGTTTCAAGATTCATGCTGGCACTCAATTGAAACCGGTTTGTTTCGGATTTAAGACACGGCTCATTCATTTCATTAAATTTGGACACTGGTTCTTTTATTTATCTTGACTAAATTCTATCCTGGTGTTGTTATTTATCATAACGGAATCCTATCCTTGTTCTGATATCTACCATGATAGAATACTATCCTGGTTCTGTTATTTATCATGATAGAATCCTATCCTTGTTCTGTAATTTATCATGGAAATCCTATCCTGGTTCTGTTATTTATCATGACTCAATCCTATTCTGGTTCTATTATTTATCATGAGAGAATCCTATCCTGGTTCTGTTATTTATCAGGACCAAAGCCGTTCATGGTTCTGTTATTTATCAGGACTTCCTATCCTGGTTCTATTATTTATCATGGGAATTCTATCCTGGTCTGTTATTTATCATGATAGAATCCTATCTTGGTCTGTTATTTATCACGATAGAATCCTATCCTGGTCTGTTATTTATCATGATAGAATCCTATCCTGGTTTTGTTATTTATGACTGAAAAGTGAATACTATACTGATTCTACTATTTATCAGGACTGAACTAGCTGAACTTTATACAGGTTCTGCTTTTTTTAATGAGTGTTTTGATATCCAAGTTCAGTCATTATTAATTTTTCGAGTATCTCAAACTTCCATCATATGCAGGTTTGTTTGCAAGGGTCCTATAAAATTAGTAGCTTCAGAGACGACTGAACTCACTAGACAGATTTCATTACATCTATTTTCTTGAATCATGATTCCGTTACAACTTTCAACTTGTTTATTTTAATAATTTTTCATTATTTTACTTTGATTTTACCTTCAGATAGCGATACTAAACGTGTTCCAGGTCGTCACTTAATCCTCAGCTTTTGTTTGAGTTACTCCACCCACTATTTCCAAACAGATTCTAGTACAAGATGTGGTAATGTAGAATTTGTACACTCGCAGTACAGCTGTATTCTTACGTCGCAAGTGTCGACGTTTATGTGTCCGAAAAAAAATTATTAATAATAGTGATAATTAAGTGTTTATCTTACAGTAAAATAAGTGAAATTTTGTTTTCTCTATTTTCTGTTTTTACACTTATTTAATCTTGATGTTTTCCTTATTATATTTGAGTTTGACACTTGTGACGTCATGTATAATTGGTCCATTTCTCTGTTGTCACCTCTTGTACTTGATAATCTATTTGCCTGTACATAACTAACAACTTTTAAATAATACTTTAAACAACAGGGTGTGTACATGAATAAAGACGCATTGGGAGCTGACGGCCATTTTGTAACCTCACCAGAAATAAGGCTTGTTTATGCTCTTTATGCTTAATATATTGAACTAAAGAACTAGATAGAGACCAAAAGATTGCAAGAATAAAAAGAAAACTTTTCGTTTGAGAATGTATTGGACTAGGCTTTTAGGGCGCTTAGCGCCCATCTTCTATTTAAATTGTGAACATGTTCTTTTTGTTAACATTTTAAAACAAAGAAGAAAAAAATTTTGCGGATTTTCAAGAATTTTAATTTTTTACAAAATTAAAAACCTTTAAACACATTTTTTTTAAAATTTTATCATTCATAAACCTTCCCTGTGGTCACGTGATGTCCCACAAAAATTTGGGCCCGATCGGTTCAGCCGTTTTGACGTTATTGGATACAAACAGACAAACAGACAGACAAGCCAAATTTATATATAGATTGTGGTTGCTAAGGAGTAAGGATAAAAATGAAGCCAAACTGTAGTTATTGTGGTTGCTAAGGATAAACATGAAGCTAGATGTTTGGAGAATGTATTGGATTGTGGTTACTAAGGATAAACATGAAGCTAGATGTTTGGAGAATGTATTTTGTTGTGGTTACTATGGATAAAGATGAAGCCAGATGTTTGGAGAATGTATTGGGTTGTGGTTAATAAGGATAAACATGAAGCCAGATGTTTGGAGAATGTATTGGACTGTGGTTACTAAGGATAAACATAAAGCCAGATGTTTGGAGAATGTATTGATTTGTGGTTACTAAGGATAAACATGAAGCCAGATGTTTGGAGAATGTATTTTGTTGTGGTTACTAAGGATAAACATGAAGCCAGATGTTTGGAGAATGTATTGGGTTGTGGTTACTAAGGATAAACATGAAGCCAGATGTTTGGAGAATGTATTGGACTATGGTTACTAAATGAATGGATGAAGATGGGAGAACCAAGACCTATTCAATTGGTTGAGCTGGGACCCGGGAAAGGAACATTAATGAATGATATTTTAAGGTAATGAATTGCTCAATGTTTTGATCTAAATAAAATACTAAAATCACGTTGTTTCAACAAAAATCAATAACTTATTAAAGAGACTGTCAGCTAAATTTTCAGTAATTCATAGATGGGCATGCCCGATTAACAACGGTTCCGTTAAAAACTTTGTCTGATTAAGTACGAATTATAAATCAATGTTTTGAAATTTTGAAATCTGATTTTTTTCAATGGTGGTTTCTCTGCAAAAGTGACTTTTACACGTTTATTCTCGAAAAACAGTTTTGAATCTAGAAAAAGAGAACGTCTTCCATAATATTTATCATACAAAGGTTTCAATTGTTATTCGGGCAAGGACATCTTTGCAGAGAGGGTTGATTAAAATTACGCTCCCAGTCACTGAAAATGTGACTGTGTTTACTGTTTAGAACGATCGGTAAACTAAGACCATCTGAGCTGGAGCATATTTCATTACATCTGGTAGAAATCAGGAACTGGTTTTTAACATCAAATTCCCTTCATAGAATTTTCAAAGATTTTTTTTAACTTCATGGGTGATTTCATGTTTTATTTTTGCTTTATCTATTTACGAGATGACTTGTAACTCATGTCTAATGTGCATATTATTTCAAGAATCTTTTGTTATTTAAGTTAGAAGGTTAAAAAACTGTCACTATAATAGTCCAGAAATGCGGAAATCTCAAGAACTAACTTTGTGTGGACAAAACTCAGAAAATTCCGATTTGAAAGAAACCACCTCAAAGGTTTGATAAAAATATTCCATATAAATCGTCTAAAGGGTGTTGAAAAAAACACATGACACTTTTTACTTTCATCATTATCATTAATCATTATCCGATCATAATGAAATTTATATCACAGTGTCTCACGTTTGGACTACATGGTTTTTAAAACTTTCTGATTTGACCAACCCTGCTCTGAATAAATGCTCATTATCTCATGAGAAAGGATTTTATCAGCTAGGATTTCCTACTCTCGCCATACTGCTTCAGATGATAGAGATTTTCACATTTCTTCCTTGCAAACTTTTTTTTTGCCATGGCCCAAATATTCTCAATTAAAGGTCGGACATTATTTAACTTTGTGGTTATTTTTTTAGGCGTAAATCAACTTTGATTGAAACTATTGCTGACAGCTGGCTGGCTTGCTGCCGTGGCTGTTTAGAAGTTTCGTCCTGCCGGCTACCTGAGCCCTCATGGACCATGTAATAGTTGATTTACACCAGGAAAAGCTTTAGGATAGTAAGGTATAATCCTTGTTGAAATCAAACATGGTCAAATCAGCTTATAGTAATGGTCCCTGGCAGCTGTTCTCCTAGTTGAAGAAGAACTGAAGGAACTGAACTGGCTCAGTACAGTACAGTACAGTACAGTACAGTACAGTACAGTACAGTACAGTACAGTACAGCACAGCACAGTACAGTACAGTACAGTACAGTACAGTACAGTACAGTACAGTACAGTACAGTACAGTACAGTACAGTACAGTACAGTACAGTACAGTACAGTACAGTACAGTACAGTACAGCACAGCACAGCACAGCACAGCACAGCACAGCACAGCACAGCACAGCACAGCACAGCACAGCACAGCACAGCACAGCACAGCACAGCACAGCACAGCACAGCACAGCACAGCACAGCACAGCACAGCACAGCACAGCACAGCACAGCACAGCACAGCACAGCACAGCACAGCACAGCACAGCACAGCACAGCACAGCACAGCACAGCACAGCACAGCACAGCACAGCACAGCACAGCACAGCACAGCACAGCACAGCACAGCACAGCACAGCACAGCACAGCACAGCACAGCACAGCACAGCACAGCACAGCACAGCACAGCACAGCACAGCACAGTACAGCACAGCACAGCACAGCACAGCACAGCACAGCACAGCACAGCACAGCACAGCACAGCACAGCACAGCACTGTTCTCCTTGTTGAAGAAGAACTGAAAGAACTGAACTGGCATTTGCTTTTGCTTAGAAATAGTTGTTTACTGTGTCCTCCACTTTTTTATTCAGAGCAGTGTTGACCAAATTCGATAATATTTTACTATGTAGTCCAAACATCCTAGAGACATTCTGATATTAATTTCATTATGATCAGATAATAAATAAGCCAATGAGAGAAAAAATTGTTCAGTGTTTGATTTTTTTAACACCCTTCAGATTATATTTATAAATCATCTTTAATGCAGTGCTTAGGATCTGAATCCAAGGGGTAAAATATCGACCAAAAAACTGCGAAAAAAACGTTTACCCTCATAAAAGAGAGATTATAAAAATTTCCCGATCTCTCACTGGTTCATCAAGTTTCAGCTTAAAAATATGATAAACTGACAATTCTGCTTGATAAAATGAATCAGTAAATCTTCAAGAAATGTTTATGACCTGGATCCGGATTCATTTTTGTTCCAGTGCGGATCCATGATCCGGATCCGCATCAAAATTAAACGGATCCTAAGCACTTCACTGCTTGGATGTCTGACCAAATTCTGTTTTAGTTCGGATGTCCAATAGTCTGGCATAACAGTCTGCGAAGCGTCCCAAGAAAATTTTCCCTATTTGTTGCTCATGAGTTCCTTGATGCTCTTCCTATTCACAAGTTTGTCAAGACTCGGGACGGATGGAGAGAAATACTGATTGATCTAGACCCGGGGACAAAGGTACAATTTTATCATGCTTTTCAGGGACTCAGGACTCCCTTCATTTATAGAGTGGCATGTATAATTCTCAACACCACCTTTCATTCCTTTGTCTGGTCAAGGATGAATGATAATTTTGTTTTCTAAAAATTGATCATCTTCATTTGTGGTTTTTTTATGAATAAGTTCTAAACATTACGTAAAATCATTTATAAAACTTATATTTGGTTTGCAGTGCAGATTTTCGCTCTTTATCGATAAGGCTCAAGACGATTTACACAAAATTAAATCTCAAGCTAAATTCTAATAAGTTATTATACGAAATCATCCTTTAGACTACCTGATGATCTTATTCCTCCTATATACTGTGTTCTTTGTTGTGTACTAACAAGCAGTAGATTTGGAACTTTGTGTGACGTATTGTTAATCTTGAACGCTTAAACTAGATATCATATGTGGGAACTTTTCATTCAAGGATCGATGCTTGATCTCTTTGTTAAAGGAATTAAATGGATCCGTAGGTCTGGACAGGATGAAGATCTGTTTAATCCTGAAATTCACAATTCAAAAAAGTTCTAACTTCTGCATGCTTTTATAGGAAAACAAGCTCCGTTACATCCAGTCTAGGAATCAAACACCATCCTGTGTTTTGATTGATCCGTTTCTCACCAATCAGGAACTAGAACTTTGTCCTCAAGCTGGAATTGTTTGTAAACAAATCTCAGGTACGTTATTTTAGGAACACTTTTCTTTAATCTTGACCCTTATGAAAACTGTTAGCCATCTAAATTTATTGTGACTTTTTTGCTACAAATATCGTTCGTGTTTCTCGTTGATCGATTGCAAGACCTATTATAATTACACGAAGCTAATTCCTTTAATTTTATAGATCGATTGGTCGAGAACGGAGGTTTGGCGCTTTTGGCGGATTACGGCGGAAATGGACAATCTGATTCATTCAGGGCGTTTAGAAAACATAAACAAGTTCATCCCTTGGTTAGTTAGTTTCAATAACAATATCATATCATGTGGGTTCCCTTTTCAAATCCATCTTATATCATTATTTATGTCTTATTTGGGAATTTCGGAAACTATGAATTCTTGAAAAAACAGTAAATATACTGAGATTACATAATACCAGATGCTGCCCTCTGTCTTATTGAGTTAATTCCGTTAAGAATACTTCACATATGGCGAGGGGGGGGGGGGGTGTCTCCTGACAGAGGGAGGGAACAATTTCACACAAAAAATGTATACCCTTCTATTTTTCAACTTTCATTGATATTTGGTCTTGTTTAGGATTTACCCGGAACTGCTGATCTTACCGCAGATGTCGACTTTAAATATCTTGCAAAACAGGTGAAAAGGATTATGTAAACAAGTTCTTTGAAAATTTTATTTATTTAATATTAAGTATTTTACTTATTAGATAAATGAAGCTTGCGCTTGGTTTGGTCCTATTTCACAAACTCAATTCTTATTGTCTGCAGGGATACAAACCAGGTACCCGGAGAAACATGGTAATGAAATCAGGTACTCGGAGAAATACCCTTATCAAACCGTGTAATGAAACCAGGTACCCGGAGAAATATCTTAATTAACCATTGTAATGAAACCAGGTACCCAGAGAAATATCTTAATTAACCCTTGTAATGAAACCAGGTATCCGGAAAAATATCTTAATTAACCCTTGTAATGAAACCAGGTACCCGGAGAAATACCTTTATCAAACCTTGTAATAAACCAGGTACCCGCAGAAATATCTTAATTAAACCTTGTAATGAAACCAGGTACCCGGAGAAATACCTTTATCAAACCTTGTAATGAAACCAGGTACCCGGAGAAATACCCTTATCAAACCTTGTAATGAAACCAGGTACCCGGAGAAATTCCTTTTTCAAACCTTGTAATAAACCAGGTACCCGGAGAAATATCTCACTTAATTAACCCTTGTAATGAAACCAGGTACCCGGAGAAATTCCTTTTTCAAACCTTGTAATAAACCAGGTACCTGGAGAAATATCTTAATTAATTAACCCTTGTAATGAAACCAGGTATCCGGAGAAATATCTTAATTAACCCTTGTAATGAAACCAGGTACCCGCAGAAATATCTTGTTTAACCCTTGTAATGAAACCATGTACCCGGAGAAATACCCTTATGAAACCTTGTAGTAAACCAGGTACCCGAAGTGGAGAAAATATAAACCTATGGCCCAGTGACGCCCTGCCAACCATTATGGTGGTACAATTTGATGAGAGCTTAACCCTGACTCCCAAGGGATGATGGTTGACCATTTTATTTACTTATTTATTTATTTATTTGATGTGTGTATTTCAACACAGCCTGTCAGCCATGCCTCGGTAGAATTGTTTTTAAAATTGTCTAATAAGATATTTGTAATTAAATAAATATATAAAACTTGATCAAAGCTTAATGACAAGGTTTAACTGGATGTATAAACATAAAACAAGTAATAAAACAATCTTGCAATTAAACCTGTGACATTAAATAAATTCTGCTTAGTATATTAAATAGAATGTCATATGTCCGACACTGTCAATGTGACTCTTTCATATTCATTTGCGGTTTCTTTGCGAAAGAGATGCGCATTTCTTGCTTATAAGAAGCCACGGATAAATTATCAGAATTTAACACTTTTGCACATGTTTGAACTGATAAGTGATAAATAGGGTATTGCCATCTTTGCATAGAGGGTCACTTGAATTGCTTACATTCCCTCGTGTTACGTTCTGTATAGAGAAAATCCCTTTATTGTGGTAGAAATCCACTCATTGCTTATTAATTGGATTTTACAGTCATCCCAATGCTGTAATACTGAATTTAATGAACATTTAATGAACTGGAAAGGTACCTAAACAATACTGAATTTAATGAACTGGAAAGGTACCTAAACTATACCCACCTTCAGCATAATAAAGTGCACTGATACTGAATTTAATGAACTGGAAAGGTAACTAAACTATACCTACCCTCAGCACAATAAAGTGCACTGATAATGAATTTAATGAACTGGAAAGGTAACTAAACTATACCTGTCCTTAGCACAATAAATTGCACTGATATTGAATTTAATGAACTGGAAAGGTACCTAAACTATACCTATCCTCAGCACAATAAAGTGCACTGATACTGAATTTAATGAACTGGAAAGGTACCTAAACTATACCCACCCTCAGCACAATAAAGTGCACTGATATAGAATTTAATGAACTGGAAAGGTACCTAAACTAACATACCCTCAGCACATTAAAGTGCTGTGATATTGAATTTAATGAACTGGAAAGGTACCTAAACTATACCTACTCTCAGCACAATAAAGTGCTGTTATACTGAATTTAATGAACTGGAAAGGTATATAAACAATAGCTACCGCTGTACCATAGGTTAGGTAGGGTAGGAGAATAGAGATATTATAGGTTAGGTAGGGTAGGAGAATAGAGATATTATAGATTAGGTAGGGTAGGAGAATAGAGATATTATAGATTAGGTAGGGTAGGAGAATAGAGATATTATAGGTTAGGTAGGATAGGTTCAAATCCTCATGAATCTTTAACTTTGAATCGGTGATTTATTATTTGGACCGGCGGTAGGTAGTTCAGCGAACCAGCTCAAATTCATTAAATTCGTTCCCTGATGCGAGTCCGGAAACAAGTCTTTTGTATGAGCAATTCATGGATCAAAAACAACACTGATAGAACACTAGATGTCGTCTTTTCAAGATTTAGGGGTTTTTCGTTCATAATAACCCTGAGGCAGAAGCCCAAAGGAGTTACGCGCATGCTGCGTTGAATTACAAGACAGAAAGAGAGCATCTAGACGACACCTAGTGTTCTATCTGTGTAGTTATTATTCTATGGATTAATAACTATGAAATGTTTAAGGTGTGAACAACTAGTGAGAGGGGGAGCAGAGGTAAAAACTATCCTTGATGCGTACCATGCGCTCACTAACTCGGAACAAATGGGAGAAAGGTTAGAAAACTATTTCCTGGGTATATTCACCGGAGAGCAGTCCAAGCTCAGATTTTGTGAAGAAATAAAGTTAATTTAATTTATTATTTTATTGTAGTTGTAAAATTTCTAAATGTGTTGCAATGCTCGGATTTAAGGGGATTAAAGAGATCAGAAAGGAATTCAGTCTCTTCCACAAACTCAAATGGTCTAATCTCTAAATCTTTGCAACCTGATGGTGTAAACCTTTGATATTTAAAAATTTAGATTATTTGATTTAACAGAATTCATAGTCCATTAGGTTGCAATGAAATAGGAATCATAAAATCAGAGTTTGTGGCAAAGACGCAATTTCTTCGTCCAGTTGTCAAATATTCCGAAAAGAAATAAGAAAGTGATGGTTCAATCATAAACATCAATGCCATATATTTTTTCAGGTTTAAATTTGCCTGTCTGTTCCCTAAAACCATGGAACCCATTCACAAAGTTGATCCTCCAGTCGGATTCGTTCAAGAAGAAGAACAAATATAATCCGCGCTAACAATTAAAACATATTGAAAATCGGATTTAACGGATTCATCATAGGATCCTTACATCTGGATACATCAAACGGATCCTTCCATAGGATCCTTACTCCTGGATACATCAAACAGATCCTTCCATAGGATCCTTATTTACATCAAACAGATCCTTCCATAGGATCCTTATTCCTGGATACATCAAACAGATCCTTCTATAGGATCCTTATTCCTGGATACATCAAACAGATCCTTCCATAGGATCCTTATTCCTGGATACATCAAACAGATCCTTCCATTGACATATCAAATGTGGATCTAAACGTACAAACAATAAAGCAGCCAAAGATTTTTTATAGTTTTACACTAATAAAAATACTGTACATTGTACAGTGCACTCTTATCCTTGTAATAACACAACTACATTTTAATATTGAGCAGTGGTTGAACTACGTAGACGTGGTTCAATCACTAGTCATGTACGTCGGATTAATTTGATAAAAAAGTAAATCAACTCAAGTCTTCGTAATTCTTCAATTATTTGCTTTTCATTAAATTTGGTTTTTTTGTATGTGTTGTATATTTGTACATTCATCATCATTATTTGGAATTATTGACGGATTTCGTGTGGTCTTTATTATTACGTGATACTTTCTGAATCTCTAGAAACGATTTTTTTTATCAGACATTTGGAATAGATTAATTAACAATAGAGATAGAAAACTAGATGTCGCCTTTGAAGATTTATGGGATTTTCGTTCACAATAACCCTGAGGCAGAAGCCTAAAGGAGTTCCGTGCAGCTGCAGACAGCGTTGAATTACAAGACGGAAAGAGAGCATGCGCGTAACTCCTTTGGGCCTCTGCCTCCGGGTTATTGTAAAAGGAAAACCCCTGAGTCTTGAAAAGACGACATCTGTACTGTTAATTAATGTATGCATTTTGTAGACTCAGTGCAACTTAATTCTTAATTCCTTGTATCATCAACATTTTAGTTTTGAGTCAGCATTTCCTATTGACACTGTATAGTACTCACTCTTCTTATCAAGGCAGTAAAGGAATTAAGTAGTAATATAAAGATTCTGAATGAAGGCTAATCTTGAACGGAATGGTCGTCTTTTTAAAATTGAAAAAAAAAATATCTAATCTTTTTAGTTTTTATCAAATGTCAGCGAAATCAATGACTACCTGCGAAGTCTCAATGTGTTAAGCTTTTTACTCAACGATAATTAATAGTTTAATTAACTTCTTGCGATTTAATTGAGTATTACCAAAGTTCCGAATTTTACGGTATTACGGTAAATAATCTGGGCGGCATCTAGCTTTAAGGTTTACTCTAGGGTTGGGGTAAACATGATGTTTCACGCCGGGTTAATACAATTTTACACTCACGCTTACTTATATACTTGTTTTAAAATCCTAGATTTTATTTTGAATTTTCTTATCCTTTAATTATTAATCGAGCTATATTAGTTGTTGTATTGCAAGCATTTTACTTTCTGCGACGTTTAAAAATTGTAGAGATTTTTTTGTTTATAGATTATAGATGTTATTTTTTATTTTTTATTTCTTTGTGCACTCTTTTGAAGAAATAAGTTTTTTTATTTAGTTATTTTTTGCAAAACCCAAAAAACATGATTGATAATGTTTTGACTGTAAACTACGATTTGCAGAGGATTTTTGAAAATCATAAGTGTTGCATATTTTTAAGTTTACTCTTAATATTTCAGATCTATGAGGGTATAGAATGTCGGGATGGGGTCCGATCAAGGATCGGGATAGAATAGGAATTGCTATTTATAACTATCTGGTGAGGCATTGTGTTATTAATAATTAATTGAAGTGCCCGGCGTTGCCCGTGGAATTTTTTAAATCAAATTTTTTAAAAATCCATGTTTAGAGACAGAAGAATAATTATCTAGGTTTAAATTGGGGATAAGGTTCAAATATGTTTAAATTTGATTTGATTTGATTTGATTTGATTTGATTTGATTTGATTTGATTTGATTTGATTTGATTTGATTTGATTTGATTTGATTTGATTTGATTTGACTTGACTTGACTTGATTTGATTTGATTTGATTTGATTTGATTTCTGACTGGCTAAATTATTATTTATATTATTTTAAATATTTCTTTTCTCTAACGCTTATTTTTCTCATTAATTTTGATTAATTGCCTTTTTATATTTAAAAAATCATTTATTTTACCCAATATGTATAATATATTATTTTTAAAGATCGGTAAACAATGTTTCTTTTTCCCAGGATTGGTATTTCGGCGGACTAGTCCGGAATACCGGTATCCGGGGTATAGTTCCGAAGGTGTATATCCGAACCCTGGAACTAGACCGGGGTTCAGGAGGAGCTGTTGTCCTGGAAGCAACAGCTATGCTAAGGTTGGTGTAGATGGAAATATCTCATATTTTAAATGGACTGTTCAGTTTGTTTTCAGTGACCCTTCAAATAAAAACTTTTGAAAAGTTCCGCAATGTAATGGATAGCATCGATCAGAGATTGGAGTTTTAGATGGACAGGATAAGTTAAACTTATTCTCTCCTTGCATGAATATTAACCAATCTCTCATTGATCAAATTTCTGACCCTGTTTGAATTTCTTGACCAATGAGTGATCACTGAACAGTTGGTATTCCTTTGGAGAGAGAGTAAATTTAACCTGTTCCAATCATTCGAAATGTATCATTTCTGTCTGTTTTCAACAGTGCTTAGGATCCATTTAATTTTGATGCGGAGCCGGATCCTGGATCCGCACTGGAAAAAATGGATCCGGATCCAGGTCATTTCGTTAAGATTTACTGAATTTTTTTAATAAAAAATTATTTTAAAATCTCAATATTCAGCAAGAATAAAAACGAAGATATCGTTTCTTTTATAATAGAACTTGGTTAATAGTTCTTTAAGGCTTAAAATTTGTCTGTGAAGCAGAGTATAACTAAGCTGTGAAAAGACTGAAACGAATAAAAAAAAAATCAGATCAAGCTTTTTGTGAAAAAGGTGTATAAAACAAAAGCATAAAATATATCCAATGAAACTAAAATATCTTTTTAGTTATTGTTTTACTTAGGGAGTGGGGTAGAATGCTGCGTAATATCTACGTTCAGCGAGACAAGAAGATTTTTCAAGATATTAAACATTTTGCAGATATCATTACTGATCAGATAGGGTTCAGGTTAGTTACTTTTACACATTTTGCAGGTATCATTACTGATCAGATAGGGTTCAGGTTAGTTACAGGGTGGCTAAAATGTACGGATTGTTTATTTTTAACCCTAAAATTGTACGGATTGTACGGATTTGTTTTCAAATTGTACGGATTGTACGGATTTTTATCCTGGAAAATACACCGTTTTTTTTATTTTCACTCATTTCAGCAAATTTTTCATGAAAATTTAAAAAAAAATTCTCGTCAAAATGAAGTTAGTTTAACTTATTTTCTGCATTCTAAATAATATTAGATTGATTAATGTTTCAATTGATAATCAAAATTCATTCATAATTTTCGAGATATGCCCAAGAAGTGTTTATTTGAGAATATGTTCCATAAGTACTTATTTGATTATATCATGTATCCAGTATCCAGTATCATGCACCTAGTATCATGTACCCAGTATTTAGTTTGTATATAATATATATGTATGAAGCCAATTTTTTACAGATTGATTCTTGCTGAAGAAGTTTAAACCCTCTTACATGAACTGAACACAAAGGACAATGAATGAAAAATTGAATTTTAATGTTTTTTTTCAACAATGGGATTTTTTTCGAAAATTGTACTGATTGTACAGATTTTTTAAAAAAATGTACGGATTTTTAAAAAAATGTACGGATTGGTTTAAAAAAGTACGGATTTTTTTTAAAAAATTGTACGGATTGTACGGATTTTTTCGAAAATTGTACGGATTGTACGGATTTCCTCTGAAAATGTACGGATTTTTGTACGGATTTGTTCAAAAAAGTTTTGGCCACCCTGTAGTTACTGTTAATAAACAGTTTATAGATACTGTTCATAAAATGTTGTTACAGATCAGACAGGGTTCAAATTAAATAAAGAATCTTGCATTACTATTTATTTTAAATATGTTTAGGGCAAGTTTAATCTGTGGAAAACTGCCGGCTGAGGAGGTGAGAGATTTAAAAACAAAACTAACAACACAGATGGATTTGTTAAACCACGTGCTTCAACTAGATCTAGTTGTCAGGTCAGCCATCTTAAATAATAAAAAATAATTTGGAATAAAAAACTCAAAAAAAGATTCTCATAATGATATTTTTAATTTCTTAACATGCTGCTTAAGCTGCAGCAATCCACGAATTAAGTTTTTTCGGTGCAGTTTGTAAAGTAAAACCTTACGTTCCTGGTTTTAAGGATTTTTTCTTTATTTTTTAGTCATGTTGGGATTGCGATGTAGTCATAAGGCGTCCCTTAAAGTCTAATTGATTGATTGATTTCACATCTTTTTAACAGGGATGCCGAGGGTAATATTCTTAACCCTGAAAAGACTTCCGCCGTTGAACTCTTCAGACAGCATAACCTCTCCTCAGAGAGAAGAACCAAGTACAACTCAAACTCCTCCTCTAAATCCAACTCCTACATGCTACTTCTCTCCGTGAAGAACTTCACCTGGAAGAGATCCGAGGATATGGAGCTGTACATATCTGTGTACATGACTGGAGGAAGTACTGCAGAACAAAAAGCGCCCAGGTAAAAATCTAAAATTATTAATTTTTAAAAAAGTTAACGTTTAGAATTCATATTATAAGGAATGTCGTTATATCGTTATCCAAGTATCATCATGTAAACTGAAAATTGACAAAAGCTTAGAAAATTACCGCGTATTTCATGTCGCTTTACAAATTCATGGGCCACCTTAAAATGTTTAAAGTTGTGGTAGATTTTTAGTTCTACCGATCTCGGGAAGTATCAACCTAACACTATGTTCCCTATTTAGACCGTTGTGTGAGAACTATGTTATTAAATGGACACGGCAAGGGATGGCCAAGGATCTAGATCAGCTCAACAATTTTAGGGTAGGAAAATTGTATAATTATCACAAGATATGGAATAAATTTATGAATGCGTTGTTTAACTTCGTTTATCATTGGAAGGGATATAACCAGTGCCTAGAATCCATTTAATTACTATGCGGATTGTGGATCCGGATCTGGGATCCGCCATGGAAATAAAATAGATCCGGATCAAGGTCATTAACGATGAACATCTATCAGAAGTTATGGGGGTTTTTAATCAAAGGATATTTTCAAATTTTTTTCCTCTTTTTTCGCTTTTTTTCATGCTTTATTATTATTAATCGTTTACAGTTCAGATTTGGGTTTTGAGAGCCAAAATTTATTTTTTTAGTTTTTTGTTAAATTTTGCCCCTTGGATCTGGAATCCGGATCCAGGAAGCCAAAATGTTGCGGATCCAACAAATCAAGATCCTAAGCACTGTATATAACTCCTTGGATTGTATGGAAAACCGTTTGGTTCCTTGTTAACCATTGATTGCTTTCTTGTTCAGGTCGTGTTTACAGATCTGAGTAAGAAGGATGTGTCCGGCCAAGAAGGACGGATCTGGTTGGTTTGTAATGTTATAGGAGATGGGAACTACCAGGCTCTAGCCTCAGAATTCCAGATAAACAAATCTTTCTCTCGGAACGACATCACTATGAAGTCCAGCTTGAGCTTCAGGAAGCCCTTGGGGGTAGCAGCGACCGAGGTGACGGACTACTTCAACCAGACAAACAAGAATATAAACGGCGGAGATAAGGAGTTTATGATACCGTTCCTACCCAGTGGTTCAGATGCAGAAACCCTGGAGAACACATTCAAGAAACTAACCTCAGAGAAGCGGGAAGGGTTAAAAGCTCAAGGACCCGGGCTCTGGGTGTCCCTCAAGGTTCTCCAAGGGGACCTCACCTCTATGCAAGAGGGGAGTAAGAGTCATCTTGTGGTAGGACGACCCTGTATAGCGCGTAAGATCGGGTTTCCAGAACTCATTCTTCCCAACGATGTGAGAAACGATCTTTACGTGAATATATACGCCGGAGAACTTTCTAGACTAAGTAAATCAGCAGATAGAAATGTTGAGGTACGTTAAATAATATTTAATGTATAGCTTAAGAATTTAAGGAATTGAATATTCGTGACTCAATCCCCCCCCCCCTTATTCTCATGTATATAGAATATAGATGTATTACCCCCCCCCCTATTCTCATATATATAGTTGTATTACCCCCCCCCCTTGCACCACACTCCACTCCCCCTCTATCGGTCCCCTTTAAATAACGTTCGCTGACGGTCAGTTTAGATTGTAAAGCTAAACATACAATTCAGCGTTCAGTTGTGTGTTACTGCTCGCCATTCAGAATTCGGTGTTCATATACAATACATATACAAATACAACACAATGGGACTGTTTATAAATTCAAGGTGGACTTGACACGGAATAATAATTTACTAAAAACTTTTTTCTTATATGAGCAGTATTTACTTCATTTTTTATGTGACAGTTCTACGTGATTACAGACTCGTCTCTAATACGGTTTTGTTATGTATAAGCACTGGATCTACGACTCTCAATCTACAGACAGATTTAATTTTATTTAGTTCTCTTCAGTGACGTTCGTTCATGTATACAACAATGAAAACAATATCTGTTACTCCTTATTGGATTTTGACCAGACAAACTAAATAATGAAGAACGCCGACAGATATAACCTCAAATTGGTTTTTGACGTAATTTTCAAGTGACCGTCATTTAAAGAGTTTAATGCCCGTTTAATAACAGTGCTTAAGATCCATTAAATTTTTATGCGGATCCGCACTGGATTAAAATGAATCCGGATCCAGGTCGTTTCTTTAAGATTTACTGTTCTTTTTTAACAAAGCAGAATTTTCAAATTTGTTGTCTTATTTTTTCGCTTATTTTTATGCTAAAACTTTGGATTTGGGTTTAGAGAGTAAAAAAAAATTAAGTTTTTGGTTAATATTTTGCCCCTTGGATCCGCTTATTTTTGCGGATCCGGATCCAGGAACCCAAAATCTTACTGATCAAACGGTTCCGGATTCTAACCACTGATTTAAACCTTTATCCAAGCAAAAACTAGAAAAATATCTTCGTTTTTTTAATTTTTTTTGGAGTTTAATTCTATTACTTTTCTTTTTGTTTCTGCTGCATAAATCCGCAATTATTTTAAGATACCGTTGTGAATCAAACATTCCCCTCTTTAATCTAAGGGTCAGGGTAAGGGTTGACGTCACGTCGACAGTACCCAATGAGGTTATAGTGTATAGAGTGATGATGTACGCTAATTCTTTACTAATTTTATTGACCAGGAACTATACCGAGAGCGTACTGCATATTTGTTGATTATAAGTTGATTCTGGCCAAGGTTATAATGCAAGGAAAGCTAATTTCAGTTGCGTATACTCTGCGTACATAATGAAACCAGTTCTCTCTGGGCGGAATTTGTAAATAAGGAAAAATGTATCCGTATGACCAGAATATTTCATTGATTTTTATGTGAAAAATGGATCCCATTCTCATGACAAGCTTCGACACCCGTCTTGTGTTTACATTATCGCCCAGAGACAGTACACTGCAGTAAAAAATATGCGTACACCTCTGAAATAATTTTCCTTGCATTATACCCTTGATTCTGGCCTAACCTGTAGTATATCGATATATTAGTAAACAATTGTAAGTGTACAGTACAGCTAACTGAGCACCAGGTAGAGAACTATCATCCCCCTGACAGTACCTCGAAAGGCCCTTGGAGAAATTATAAATTCATATTTGATTTCCAGGTTGTGATTGAAGCTGTAGATGAAGCAGGATACGTTCTTCCTGAAGCTGTGAGTTCTGGAGGTAGTTCTCCGTTATCACAGGAGTTCTCTACAGGTTTATTATTTTAAATTTTAAATTTTGAAATTAAAAAGTTTTTCCGTCACAGCAGGGGTGAATATTTTTCAGATTTGATTTGACTTTTGATGATTGGGGTGGGGGGGAAATTATTAATTGGACATTAAAAGTCAGTTTTTTTTCCTTAGATACTTTCTACCCAAAATTTCGTTCATTTTTCTCGAAAAATCATCCTCCCCCCTCTGAAAAACTATTTTTAAGGGTAAATGAAATAATTTTTGGGGTTGAAAGTATCAAAAAGAATGAAAAAAAAAACTTGCCTTTTAATGTCCAATTTTTCGTATTTTTTCCCCCCAAATCATCAAAAATCAAGAATCAAATATTCATCCCTGTTCAATCATGAACTTGAAAAGAATTAAGTTAATTCTGAATTTGTAATCAATAAATTTCTCAGTTTAGAGAGATTGAATTAATATTGTTCTGCTTCAGTTGTATACTACCACGAGGGTAAACCCCGATGGAACGAGGTGGTTCGTGTTCTAGTTCCTGTCGAGCAATACAACCAGGTTCATCTCAGGTTCACCTTCAAGCACAGATCCAGGAACGAGGCCAAGGAGAAGCAGGGTCCGGCTCCCTGGGCACTAGCCTACCTCAAACTAGTAAACGATTCTAACGGAACAACGTTGAAGGACGGATACCACGATCTCCTTGTGTATAGGATAGACAAGAAGTTTGATATGAATAATCCAACCTACCTAGACCTTCCAAGCCTCAAGACATCACAATCGCACAAGGTGAAGTTCCAACCTTACAATAACTTCCTCACGCTGATCACTAAAGACGTGTTGACAGTATACACCACCTTGTGTTCTACTAAACTAACACAGAATATTGGACTTCTCTCCCTTCTCAAGTGGAGAAGCGAACCGGAGAACCTGAAGCACAACCTTACAATGTTCACTAAGGAGGTTAAGGCCGAGGAGGTGGTCAAATTTCTCCCAGATGTTCTGGACGCTCTCTTTTCCATACTCATGGAGAACAGTGACAGTGAGCTGTATGATAACCTTGTGTTCGAGGCTCTTATTGCAGTCATTGAAATGGTAACAGGAGACAAGTTTAAACAGTTTATTCCTGTGTTGGAGGTGTACATCAACGAGAACTACTCGGCTACCCTGGCCTACAACAAACTCCTGGTTGTCTTCAAGGACTATGTCGAGGCTGCAACTGGAAACCGGAACGGGTCGCTACCGACCTCGGTTCTGGAAATAAAGAGAAAAACTGAGAAATTGGCTCAAGCAACTAACTCCCTTCAGTTCTTGTTCAAGTTTGTCGTTAGATCTAGAATGTTGTTCTCCGCTCTTAACGGAGGAAAAGGAGCTGAACCTTTCGAATCTATGCTTCGGGAGGTTTTGTTATCACTTGTTAAACTTATGTTCGGAAGTCAGCCTGAAATACAGAGAATACAAGAGTCTTGTCTCCGTCATATAGTTTTAGCAGTTCCTGATCTGATTCAGGTGTTCCCTAGACGAAACCTTGCAGAGATATTAATGAAAATGATCAGTTCCCTGCCTATAGGACAACTCTCAGAACAGAAGCTAGCAACCCTTCAGGACCTGGTTCATAGTCAACTATTCCTACACTCCGACTGCCGCCAGGTTATCCTTCCTGTTCTTTGCTCTGGGATTGATGTAGTTCTGACTAAACCCGGAGCTACCTTTGCTCTAACAGCTACTCAAGCTCTTGGAGATTGTCTGGATAAACTGAATAATACTGAGGAGTTTCAGACTAATGCCGAGGATATTAACACCATAATTAACTATTTATTAAGAACTGTGATCCAATGTGTAGCAAACAGGACCCAGAGTGACGTAAATGCTCCATCTATTGTGACAAATATGATCTCAATCTTTAGGTTGATGTCGTCTTCGCATTTCTCCTGCTACATCCAAGGGTTCGAACCTGACTCCGAGGCTGGTCGACAGAACCTGCTGGATTTTGTAATGGAGGTTCTTCTCATGTTCAAGGATTTAATCAAACACAACATCTATCCGAAGGACTGGGCGGAGATGACAATGCTGATGAACTCAGTGGTTCTCAATGCACTCAGACAACTCTCACATACAATCAGAGACTTTTTCTCCATCTATTTTGAAAATGACGCGTGGAACAATTTCTTCGAATGTTCAATCTCGTTTCTAACCCAGCCGAGCCTCCAGGTCGAGGAGTTCTCCCAGATGAAGAGAGCCAAGATCCTGTCCACCTACGGTGACATGAGGAAACAGATGGGTCTGGAGATTAAAACTATGTGGTTTAATCTTGGTCAGCACAAACATAAGTTTATACCAAGCATGGTTGGAAACTTCCTGGAGATGACTCTGATCCCTGATATAGATCTTAGGAACGCAACTATTCCGATCTTCTTCGACATGATGCAGTGTGAGTTCTACTCTGGTGGATCTAGAAACGGATCAAGGATCTCCCTAAACAACCTTCCTGCAGAGGAGAGATCGTCACATAAAGGAAACTTTAAGGATTTTGAGAACGAGATGATTAGTCAGCTTGATCATATGGTGATGGAGGGGGGGAAGGGGGACGGAATGTACAAGGATAAGTTCAGGGATATCTTGATGAACCAGTGTGAGCAGCACATGGCCCTGAAGGAGCTAGGCACCCAGTTTGTCCAGACTCTAACCCGTCTGATGGAGTTATTGTTGGAGTACCGAAGTATACGGCAGGAGGAGAGCCGGGACAACCAGATGTCCTGTATCGTAAACCTCCTGGAGTTCTACAACGAGCACAAGAGAGAGGAGATGTTTATCCGACATCTCAAGAAACTCTACGATCTCCACATGGAGTGTGAGAACTGGGCTGAGGCAGCGTTTACTCTGGAGAAACAAACCACAATGCTCCGATGGACAGAGGAGACACTGAACCCAAGACTATGGCACGCCAGGTACATATCCAAACTTATTTAACCTAAACCTCATTAAATAAAAGTTTTTATATCACGTACAATCCTATTTCAGTTTATAAAAGGGGTTGTCAACTTTATTGAATGTGACCTTACTATTGTAGAGCGTCATAAATAACTGAAATTTTAAACCATGAGTAACTATAGCGGAAAAATAGTCCTTTTTGATTTTCAGAAAAAAAAAACAAATGTATCTTGGGATTGATAATTAAATTCGAAGTGTAGAAACCTTAAATTAGATTTTATAATTTTAGATCCTTCCTAATCATATTCAATTCCTTTAGATATAGTGACTGTAAGATCCACCGTGATTTGAAGATTGCTCTGTATGTCGAGATGATAGATTTGTTTGACCGTGGGCAAATGTGGGAGCGTGCACTTGAATTTAGTCGACAACTTGCGCATCAATATGAGGAGGAAATTGTAGATTTCTACGAAATGGCTAAGTTGAGGACCCAGGAGGCCGGTTTCTACGACAATATCATGACAAGGTTGAGACCGGAGCCGGAGTACTTCAGGGTTGCGTTCTACGGACGGAGCTTTCCTGCTTTCCTTCAAAACAAGGTGTTTGTCTACCGTGGGAAAGGATTTGAACGCTTGCCCGAGTTTCAATCCAGGATCTTGGATCAGTTCCCTACAGCGGAGCTGATGACTAAACTATCAGCGCCTACGGATCGAGAAATGGATCAGCCCGGTCAGCTGATCCAGGTGAATAAGGTTGAACCTATTCTCCATGTACCGAAACGTCTGCACGGTAAAACAGTTGATCAGCAGATAATCAACTATTACAAGGTGAACGAGGTGAGTCAGTTTATGTATTCCCGACCGTTTAAACGATCTACCGGTGGGTCCGAGGATGAGAACGAGTTTGCTTCTTTATGGATTGAACGAACTATTCTCAACACATCCCACCAACTTCCGGGTATTCTGCGCTGGTTTCCCGTTGTGAACCTTGAAGTGTTTGAACTCTCTCCTCTGGAGAATGCAATAGAAACCATGCAGAATATTAATAGAGATTTAAGAACTCTGCTTCAAGAACATGTTCTCAGCAACTCTCCAGTTCCACTTAAACCCTTGAGCATGAAACTAAACGGGATTATTGACGCTGCTGTTATGGGAGGAACTGCAATGTATGAAAGAGCCTTCTTCTCAGATGAGTTCCGGTCCTCGAACCCGGAGCAGAGAGAACAGTTGGTTGTTCTAGAGAACCTAATGGCGGAGCAAATTCCACTCCTGGAAATAGGAATCAAAATACACGATGAGAAGAAACCAGATGAGCTGAAACCTCTCCATGAGCGTTTAACCCTCATGTTTGGACAAATGAAAGAGCATGTTGAGTCTAAATACGGACAAAGATCCGTCGGACCGGAGTTTAAGTTTAGAAATCCTCGTCGACACTCTGCCAGTCGAGGTTCAACCTCGGGGGTCTCATCTTGGACAACATCAACACGTCCCAACCTGGAGACAAGGATCAGTGATAAAAGCGACGGGGACGCAACCCCTGTCACCAAGTCTAAATCGAACCTGATGGCAAACTTGAAAATGAATCGGAAAAGATCTCGAGCAAGCGAGGATAGGAACTCAACACCTAGACCTAACAATATAAGGTAAGGAAGAGATACAAAAATATAATTGATTTTATTTTCACAGATTGGATTGTACATTACCTGTAAGAAAATTAATATTTTTTGATGTTATTATATTATTTTTAGGCCCATCCCGGAGAATGAAAATATGGGGTCTACCCTTCGTATTCACTCTCGTAGCTCCGTCACTATCCCGGAGCTTGTTCGTCCTTCCAGTCCGGCTCAATCGAACCGGGACTCCATGATATCCGCCAGTTCCGCCGGAAGTGACTCCGCCCCTCCAGTTCCGCCCAAATATTCTATAGGCAGGCACAGCTACCAGGAATAATTAGTTGTTATATATGGGGGGGGGGGGGGAGAGATTTAGTTTGTATTTAAAAGTTTTAATAATTTTAGATTCTGAGGAAAGAATTTTTCTTATATTTTAGTAAAGGAATCTTATTCTATGTAAGATTTCCTGAAGTTGGCTATTGAATTTATTTCTATCTTAGTAAATTTTACTTCATCGCTCAAATTTCATTTTATTTTTTTATAAAGGGAAGTATTAAAATTGTCCCACGCCCATTTTTTTGTTAAATGCAATGAAGAGAGTTCTATAAAGCGCTATGAAAATAATAACCTTGTGAAAAAAGGTGAAAAAATAGTTTTTTGTTCGAATTACAAATAATTGCCCTTAAAGTCGGTCGCGGTAACTGTTTGATTTAGGACTTTCCCGTGTTAATTAGAAATTCTTGTTATGTATATCTATATATATATAAAGTTGTAATCTTTGTTTTCCTGTCTGTCTGTTTGTTAGTGTGTCAGGTCATAACTTGGGAACCCATGGGCCGATTTGCTTAAAATTTTGATAGGCCCCCAGCTGGAAAATTTCTCTCGATCGGAATTCCGATTTCTGACTTGAGGAATTCCGGCGTAGGAATGAAATCGCTCCGATTTTCCATTCCGATCTGTTCCGATCGTACATGAAGCGGAGATCGATAGCGCAAACANTTGAGGGTTGAAGTTGAAGATTGATGATTAATGCTAATCAGCTAAATCATGGAAAATTCTTTATTATTATACATAAAGAGCATTCCATGACTTAAAAAATTTCGCAATTGTTATAAAGGTCATGCAGATCTCATCATGTAGAAACTTTCTGAACAAATTGAGCAGCGTGCTTACACCTTGAAGAAATGAATTAAACTGGCTAAGATTTGACAAATGAGCGCGCTTTTCAGCGGGCCCTCGTTTTTTATCATCCTTTTTGATTTTATATCGGAAGAAAAAGTTTGTCTTTTCATCCTCAAAGTTCTTCAGACGGACTGATAAATTAGTTTTGATCCGACGATGGAGTCAAACTTCGACAGCAAACAATTGCGGACTAAAAAAAGACAGCTTTTAATCATCCGATGCCGGAGCTCCACAAAAAGACATTTGCGGATGAAAAAAAGAGTTCCGATCACAGTAGAAAATAAGAAAACGGTGGAAAGAAAAAATAATTTTCTAGCTGGGGGGGAACTCGGGAGACCCACGGAAATATTCTTAGCTTGGTTTTAAGATTCTAAGTTGAGTGGGTCGACTTTAATAGCGAAAATTTAGTTTCCAGTAAAATCGTTCAAGCGCGGGTAAACGGTGGGAGTAACTTTGAGAAACCTGGGCACCGCTGGGTTCCCAAGCTAGTTGTTTATATTGTGTATATGTGTGAATTTTTTTCCGATATTTTCATGGTTAGGGTCAAACATGTTCTCTGTTAGAACCTGAAATTTAATTTGAGTCGGGAACTCTTGTATTGTGGATATCGAGAACAATGCTTCATCTAGATCTTTTGTTAATCTGCAGATTAATTGAATATTTATTCGTTGTCCTCAGTGTAATTGTACACTGAATGAAAAGATTAAGCATTGATCCTCAAATTAAAGTGTCCATTGTGGATATGAGGATCAAGGGATTGGGATAATGAGTATCCAACACACAAGTTGCCAGCTCTGAATTAATACTGCACAGTAAGTACCGGAATACATAATTCAAGACTGCACCATCTATTAAATATTTTATAGAGATGTTACATTCTTAAACTTTCTCTTTATATTTTTTTAATTCTGGGAATTTATATTTGTATGTTAATGTTCTGTCCTGAAAATGAGAGATTGGGCTCCTAATACCTAATTTAAGAAAAATACCTTATTATTCAGCATAAATCAAAAGACATAACTGTAAATTTAAATCAGATTTTTAGCCTTTCTCTGCTCATTCAGCTCTGCATAAAATCTTTCAAAAAGCTGAAAATAGTCCTCTCTCTTGCTCTAGCTCTCTCTGGGTTTGAATATTAAACTAATATTTGTTGTTTACTAACTGGTTGTATGTGTCCAGGAAGCTCACCCCTCCCGTCACGGTTCCTTAATATAACTGAGGAGTCGTATTCATCCCTTCAGGATTCAATACTCTCAAACCAATCCCTTCTTGAGAACCTGTCTCTTGAACCACGTCCTCCACCCCATTCACACAACAAAACCTCTCCGCCCAACCACATCATGAGCTCAAAGAAGAAGCCCGCCCCTCCACCTCCGGTGACCACGCCCCCAACCCCGCCTAAAAAGGCTCCTTTAAGGCTTCCAGTTCATAATTTATAGATGTTTAACTTCCTAGCAATAATTAATGAATTTGTGAAATTTTCTAAATGTTGTGAATGTTATCGTTTCCCGGGGGGGAAGCTTTAATTGGTGAAACCAAAGAAAGAAAAAATATAATATTTTGCAATGTCGGTTAGTATAGGAGTGCAATAATATTTGTGATCAAGATGAATTAAATCGATTTTCTTACACAGAAACCAAAATCAATATTTTGCTAGTCAACTCTCTGCTCTTGTTAATTTGTATCTTGTTCTTGTTCTTGTCCTTTTTTTGTTTATTTGCTTAAATGTATAAGTGCCAAGTTTGGAAACGCTTTGATTGTTACTTGTTAAAATATAATCAATGCCAAAGGCACAAAATATTTTAATATTTATGAAAAATGCAACCACCCTTTCTTTATGAGGAACAAAAGGAACAGAGTATTATGAATACTCTTTTTCAAATATTCTTAAAGAGTATTTAGGCTACAAAGCTTCTAAATTTTTTTCTTAACGCAGACTTTCAAATTTTACATATGCCAATTTTGAACTTGCCATTTTTTTTAATTCTATAGATTGAAGACATATATCCAAAACAATTTGATTTTTTGTGATTTTTTGCATTTAGATTTTTAGAAATGCATTTAAAAATTTCATTTTTGATAAAATTTAAAATTTAGATTTATTTCCTAAAGTATTTTATTAAGGGCTTGCTTATTTTCAATATCCTATGTAAATGTTTAAAAGATGTAAATGTGTTTTGTTTATTTCGTTAAAACAATTATTTACTTAATCGTCATAATAACGTAAATTTCAAATAAAAGTTGTAGCATTTTCATAAGAAGAAATTAAATTCAGTTGGGGTCAAACTTTATATACAACTTATTTATTTAGCTATTTTTTTCCCCTGAAAATAAATAGTATTTTCTTAACTTTATTTTTGATCTCCAGTTCTTTTCTTAAATTTAACTTGAGTCTAGAATTAATGAAACTGACTGAACTTAATTACAGTACAAATAGCTGAACTTAAGTTCAGTAAATGCTGTTGTTAAAATAAGATTTTTTTCTAAACCTTACCTTAACCTTAGCCTGCCCTTAGTGCTGAGACTTGAACTTAAGCTTGAGTCCAGTTTTATTAACTTTAGGCTCTTTGTTTCATCACGTGTTTATATTAAAGATTACATGATAAGACTGTTATATGAATTCTTCCTGTAATGACTAGATATTTATGTATTTAATTTTGATAGTAATAGTGTTTGACTACAGATGTTTACCTTTAATCTATATTTCAGACCTAGTTCACCGAGAAAATGGACGGACAGACATTTTTTCAGACAATTTTACGAAGCAAATCTTCAAATGCACCCATGTAAAAAAAAACTATTGAAATAACTTGCTAATTATTTTTTAAAAATTTTAATATATTTTTGATAATTCAGTGTACATTTTTATTATATTTAAATATTTATATTCTTTTAGACAATTCAGTGGAAGTGACGAAACTAACAGTTTTCCAGTGAAAGGAAGTGAGGTAAGAAATCCAGAAAGAGATTTTAAAATTCAATAATTGTTTATCATCTGTCATACATTGTGATAGGTAATTAAAAATAAATTGTTTGGTTTGGTTTTTTTTACCATCGAAATTCATAACGAGACGAAACATGATTTGGACGTTTCTAATGTTTTGATTTCGATTTCGATTTCGATTTCAAATTCGATTTTAGGTTTCCATTGTTGGAAGTGCTGGTGACCATGAGGTTGGATCTTCTAAACTACATATCAGAGATATTATTAAATTCAGCTGGGAGCACAGGTAGGAGTTTGAGTCTGATTCGATCAGATATGAACCTTTGTTATCATTATTGCATATTATATCTAAGGGACAAAACGAAGTAGGGACAAATAGGGGTTAGTTAGAGGAACTAGACACTTAGATTAATCATTTACATTTTTTATATAAGGATTGATTGATTGATTGATTGACTGATTGATTAGATACTATCCTGGACAGCTGGTTTGCCATCATATATCCGGAGAGTATATTGCCTACGCTATCATTACTCCGGGTATAAGCCAGGGTATGGTGAGAGTTATGAACAGAAACACAGAAGAACGAACTCTCATCAAGGTTGGGATTTAAATATATATTTTATAACCCTGGGAACTCAGAATACAAGCGCATTAACTTTCATAAATACCTAATTCGTTTGGGATGTATTTTAGCATTATTTTGAGTGAATTAATTTCTTAATTTTGGAGGGATTGCTAAATTAATTTTTTTTGCCTAGCAAATGAGTTAAAAAGTTAACAGTAGTTTTTTTAAGGGAATGAAGGGCGCCGTGGTGGACGTGAGCTTCGCGCACGTGAAGGAGGACGTGGTGGTGGGTTGTGTAGATGAGCAGGGGAACCTGTTTGTTTACAGGATCAGTGAGTCCTCCTCAGGTCTTCAACATGAACGAGTTCTCTGTGTTCTCCGGGATAAACCTCTTCATACAGAGCATAGGTAATTACTGTCTCCCACATCAAGACTTGTCATTTTATTAATTTTCAAGGTGACAGATTTTTAATTCAGTGTGAATCATTAAACTAAAAATAGGAAAAAGAATTTTTTGATTTTAAATAGTCTAATGAACATGAAACACAGTAATTGTGCAGTGTACACAGACCAATTTCACTTTAACAATTTGATGTATAAGCTACTGGCAAAGCTATTTCTATTGAAGAGAAAAAATATCCTACTGATCAAATAGATTATCAAGTTCAATAGGTGGCAACAGAGAAATGGATTAATTATACACAACGTCACAAGTGTCATATGTAACAAGGAAAACTAAATTTTCTCACATTATTTGACATGTTTTTCAAGATAAAATAAAAAAGTGTAAAAATAGAAAATAAATAACACATAAAATTGCACCTTTTTCACTGTAAGATAAGCTATTTATTCTAAAATTGTCACTATAATTAATAATTTTGTCGGACACAATACTGAGTTGACACTTGTGATGTAAGAATACAGCTGTACTGAGAGTGTACAAATTCTACGTTGCCATCTACTGTACTAATCAATCTTATTGCTACTGACCAAAATCTTAAACTTGTCTGAACCTTATTAAGATAAGGATTTATGAAGATTTTTATTTCATCTTTGATTTTTCTTCCTAGAATTCTCAACTTTGCCTTTTTAACCTTTTTCTGGTCAATAATGTGTCAAATTCTTAAATTTCTGTATTAGTATTCCGCTAGTCACTTGAACAGAGAACTTGCAATGAAAAATAATTAGTTTACTTGGTTCCGTATTGTGAATCGGACGTATTATTTTTTTATCATCATTATCAGACTGATCTGGTGTCCGTATATGAAAGTATGTGAAGAGGACGAGGATGATGAAGATGATGTAGAGAGCTCTGCTCGTCTTCTCGTCCTCACACACGGAGACGACTGTGAGGTGTGGCACGTTGATACAGTTGTGGAAAAACATGGAACCGGACCTCTCAGACCAGAGGTAAAATATTTATCATTGAAAACTACGAAACTTTGTTTAGACTTAATAAACTTTGTTCAACCTTAATAAACTTTGTTCTGACTTAATAAATATTGTTCAAACTTAATAAACTTTGTTCAAACTTAATCATCTTTGTTCAAACTTAATCATCTTTGTTTAAACCAAATAAACCTGCTCAAGCATAATAAACTTTGTTTAAACTCAATAAACTTTGTTCAAACTTTATAAATTTGTTCAAACTTCAAAACTTTGATCAAACTTTAAGAACTTTCAAACTTTATGACTTTGATCAAACTTTGAAAAAAAAATTTCAAGTCTAATAAAAATTTTTAGCAAAGTTTATTAAGTTTGAACAAAGTTTTAAAAGTTTGTTAAAAGTTTTTAAATTTTAATTGACGTTTTTAAAGTTTGAACAAAGTTTATTAAATTTTAGCAAAGTTTATTAAGTTTGAACAAAATTTTTATAGTTTGATCAAACTTTTAAAACTTTGTTTCAACTTAATAAACTTTGTTCAAACTTAATAAACTTTGTTCAAACTTAATAAACTTTGTTCAAACTTAATAAACTTTGTTCAAACTTAATAAACTTTGTTCAAACTTTATTTACATTATTTAAATTTCTAAAAACTGATGAAACAATCGATTAGAACAGATTTTAAGCAAAGTCAATTCTTATCCAATATTTTTATAGTCATGAAGTTTTATTAGGATGTAACTGACGGATTATTAAAAATTCCCGAAGCTGGAGGCATCATAACAGACGCGGCATTTTCTCCTGATGGGAACGCTCTTGCTACTGCATCCAAGGACGGCCAAGTCAAGTTCTTCCAGGTTAAATAAATCCTTAATCAATAATCATTTTATTTTTATTTTTGTCATATTTTTCTGATTTTAAATTATTTATTTTGTCCAGGTTTACATGAAAGGGGAAGAAGATCCACGGTGTTTACACCAATGGTCTCCTCATGGTGGAAAACCGGTTTCTAGTCTTCTCTTCCTGGACGACCACTCAGAGTATCAACCCAACGTGGCGTTCTGGAAATATGTCATTACCGGCTGTGATCATAACAGTGAACTTAAGGTATAACTGACTCTGGCTGTACTTCTTACTTCATCGTAATTTTACCATTATCGACCTAAACCTTTCCCTGACTTAATCCCAATCCGTTTTGAACAGTAGCCTAATATTTTTTATCCAGGCTTGAGCATATTCTCAAAATTTCGTGGTTTTTTGGATTAAGTTTTATTTATATTACACCGTTTTGAATTCTATATTTTGATTAGATCTGGTCCTGTGAAACTTGGAGCTGTCTTCAGACAATCAAGTTTCAGTCCCATGGGGCGGATTCAACAGAACCTAGACTCAAGATAGCTCTGGATTCTACTGCCAGGTATAGAACAGAACCTAGACTCAAGATAGCTCTGGATTCTACTGCCAGGTATAGAACAGAACCTAGACTCAAGATAGCTCTAGATTCTACTGCCAGGTATAGAACAGAACCTAGACTCAAGATAGCTATGGATTCTACTGCCAGGTATCGAATAGAACCTAGACTCAAGATAGCTCTGGATTTTACTACCAGGTGTAGAACAGAACCTAGACTCAAGATAGCTCTGGATTCTATTGCCAGGTATAGAACAGAACCTAGACTCAAGATAGCTCTGGATTCTACTGCCAGGTATAGAACAGAACCTAGACTCAAGATAGCTCTGGATTCTATTGCCAGGTATAGAATAGAACCTAGACTCAAGATAGCTCTGGATTCTACTGCCAGGTATAGAACAGAACCTAGACTCAAGATAGCTCTGGATTCTACTGCCAGGTATACAACAGAGGTCATCTGGGTTCTTCTGCTAGGTATTAAACAGTACCTAGACTATATTAAGCCATTTATTCTACTGCTTTCTTCAGAAGGCAAAAATAAATTACTAGTTTTCTCAATTTTACAACTCTTTAGGTATCTCCTGCTCTCTGATATTGACAGAAACCTGCTCTATGTTCTCTCGGTTGAGTTCCCTTCTGAATCTCTAAACGAAGATGCATCTGTAGTGTCAGTCTCCGAGTTCCCTACACCCGCTCCTCTCCTCTCATTCTGCTGCATCTCTGCTGGGAAAAAGCAGGTACAGTGACTTAATGTAAGATTATATTGAAGTTATCGACTATTAACAATCCGTAAATACAAAGTTCTAACTGTCTTAGTACAATTTAAAATGTAATCTATATAAAAATTCTATAAATATAAAAAACAGTATATAAAAAAAAAAAAATTATTAGAATCGGAAATATAAATATTTAAATTTGACTAATAAAAAATTTGCAAGTGACATTTATATATGTATTTATATCTTTGTGTGTGAATAAATTTTTATATATATATTTATTTATATGTATTTATTTATATCTTTGTGTGTGAATAAATCTATATATATTTCTGAAGGCCATTTGAGAAACTATCTTAAAAACTGAAATAAGTCACTTATTTTGTTTACCGGAAGTTTTAAAAAAAATCTTTTTTCTAGCCTTTTTTATTGAGGTTGCTATGGGTGAGGATGGGGTTACAGTACAAGAGAATGGAGGATCTGTGGGCAGTAAGGAGAAAACTGTAATCAAACTCTGCTTTGTTCAAACCAAACATCTCCAGGAGTGTTCAATCATCTTCGACGACGCTGCCAAAGCAGCTCTTCCCAAATCCTTCCCTGTTGCTCCAGTACCTGTTCGAGTACCCGGAGAGATGAACGGAGACGGTTTCCCTTCTCCTCTGAACCCTGTCCTGGCAAGTAGTCCTAAGGAGAATCCCAATTCTAGCAGTGACGATCTCGCTGAAGCCGCGAGCAAAATAAATCTCATCTCAACCAACAAGTTTAAACCCCTCTCCTCCCTTCCACCTCCTGACATTGTAAAGAAAGAAGAAGTTACCATTGAACTAGACAATGATGACGACGATGACGGATCTGAATATGACGACGGTGTTGTCCCAACACTTGAAAAGGTGTCTCAAGAAAAGGATTTTGTCTCCGGTAACTCAAGTCCTAGCCGAGAGGTTGCCACTATCCTCTCTACAGATGAGAGAAGGTTTGAGCCTGAATCTCCCGCCGACAACACAATACAAGAATCTCCATCTCCTGACTTCCACTCTACCAAGATAAACTTGAATACAAGTGGAACAATATTTCCTAATCCTCCCTCTGTAACCCTCGCCACTGCTATGACAGGCTCACTGGCCAAGATGGTCCCTGTACCCCTCACCCTTGACGTCCCTGTAGCCAATTCTCAGCCCCTAGATATTGTTGTAAAGGATCTACAAAAAGAAATATATAATCTACGCCACGAGATCTCCGGTTTAAACAGAACAGAACAAATAGCTGCACAGATAGAAGCTCAACTAGCAACCAGGCTTGATGCTGCCGTCAACAGGACTATATCCGTCAGTCTAGCTAAGATGGAGCAGAACATGAAGAAGCAGGAGGAGATAATGATCAACTTCATGGCTAAATCTATCACATCGAAATGTGATCAAATTCTGAGTATTGAGCTGAAGCGCAATGTTGCCGAGACAGTAAACCGTGCTCTGGAACCTCTCAAGGCGAGGATTGACTCTCAGATTGGACACAAGCTTTCTAACGCAGATCAGGTGGTTCGAGAGAGTGTTTACAAGATCGTGAGTAATCCCGGCTTTCAAGATTCTATCTCTAAGAATGTCTCCAAGTCCCTCCAGCCTGTGATTGCTGAAAGCTACCGTGAGGTGCTCCAGGCTAACCTACCAGGAATGGAGAGAATGATGAAACAGATTCTCTCTAACATGAACGAAACTTTCCTGGCCGGAACTAAGGAGTATACTGCCGAGCTCCGGGGTAGACTGGAAGCATCAGAGGTTGCTCAGAGAGACGAAATCTCACCGTATCTCAGGGATATCATGAAGAGTCTTGGTAATCTTTCAGCCAGTCAGAGTAAACTCAGTAACCAGGTAGAGAGGCAAAATTTAACATTTATTTTAAACAAATGACTTTTGTAATTTTTTTTCTAGGTTTCTGAAATAAATACTCGAAATGAGAAGGAGTTACCTAAAAGTATTGCAAAGATGATCCGTAGTGAGGTTCGAGCTGCTTTATTGGATCAGGTTTCCGTGTCTCCGGGACCTATCAAACCCAACAATCTTCATGCTGATATTAAATTTATAAAGGTGGGTTTCTATAATTTGATAAATCTAATTCAATTGATCTGAGTGATATATGTATTAAAATATTTAATTTTTTGTAATCACCTTGAGATTTAACAATATGTTGACTAAATGGAGCACGGGCTGAAAAATCGTAAGGTTAATGTTTCGGTGCATTCAACAAAAATAAGCGTTTTTTTGTTTTTTTAACCCCCGATAAATCATTGGATATTTTTAATTGTAAGTTTTATCAGAGTTGACACTGACCACTGTACTTTTTAGAAAAGCGCTTAGCTTTAGTATGAACTTTAAGTCCAATTCAATTTTGGGTTTAGCGCGGTAAATCAAAAAACATTGTCCGACGGGGCATCCAATGTCTCAGGTTGAACCATCGAGGCAAGGGTACAAAGAAATTTCTAAGAAGGTTTAAGATATAAAAGTTTAAGCCTCAATTAATATTTAACCTTTAAACTTATTTGAAATACTACGCTTTTACATAGTACATTTTAAAACAAAGAAGAAAAATTTCGCTGATTTTTAATAAGGAAATTCGCGGATTTTCAAGATTTTTGAAAATTTTACATAAATAAAAAACTTTTAAATACAATTTTTTAAATTTTTATCATTCATAAACCTTCCCTGGGGTCACGTGATGTCCCACAAAAAATTTGGGCCTGATCGGTTTAGCGGTTTTGACGTTTATTGAATGCAAACCAACAGACATACAGACAAGCCAAATTATATATAGATACATTATTATACTCAAGATTGTAAAATATGTGATATTTAGGAGATGGCGAGCACAGGAAACTACAACGAGGCCTTTAAGAAAGCGCTGAGCTTGAACGATCTGTCCATGGTTATGCTGGCCTGTCATTCCGTCAACCCCGGGCAAATGTTCGGTCAAGAGACCTGTCCTCTCAACCAATCGGTCATTCTCTCTCTTATTCAACAGCTTAGTTGCAACCTACAGGTGAGCAAATATTATGATTCACAGTTGCATTCATCAAATTTAATTCTAGTGCATTCTATCATCTTATTATTCCTGGTCTGCTTAAGTGTATTATCGAACTGTGACTCATTTTTTCTTGAATTTTCGAAAGAACCGGTCGGGCGGGGGGGGGGGGGGGGTATTAATAACCTTTAAGAAATACCAGTGTATTATGACACTTAAAGGCCTGTTTGCGTCTGTCTTATCTAATGTCAGTTATATCCCAATAGCTTCAATATCTATTAATTATTAGTCTGGTTTTTGTCGAGTTTTTAATTTTACAAGTCATAAGTATATTTATTTAGTAATTTATGAATGTGGTAACATAACTCGAAGATCTTGATAAACTTAAGGGTGGATCTTTTCAAAGAACTTGAAAATCGAGATTGAATCGGATCGGATCGGATCGGATCGGATCGGATCGGATCGGATGGGATGGGATGGGATGGGATGGGATGGGATGGGATTGTTTAAATAACAGATGACCTTTGAGATTAATTTTTGGTTTCTATTTATCCAGGAGAAAACCGAGCTGAAGCTGGCGTACCTGGAGGAGGCAGTTCTTCATCTAGATAAAAACAACTCTATTACCAAGGTTTGACCTTATGATATTTTTATAATAATTTATATTTTAGAAATATCTAAAAGATTCATTTTTAAATGTCTCCTTCTAATAACTACACACACAAAAAATATTAAAAATCATTTTTAACAGATTCAGAATCCAAAATTGAATATATTTGGATTGTTGCAATAATATTTTTTTTTTTATTTGAAAATTCTACGAAATTTACATAAAATATTCATCTATAAAGTGTGAAATGTCCATCAATGAAATGTCCATCTACCTATAAAATGTCTTTTTTTATTTAAGGAAAAAAACTTACTAATAAAGTCCCCTGTATGAACTACAGAAACATGTGGCGAGGAGAAAAAAAAAACAATTTAAGAAATTTGAATGCAAACCTATTCTGAACTCAACTTAAAACAATTTACTAAGCTTACATTATATGATAGTTTGACTGTAGGTTGATTTGATCGGTAATAAAAGCATTTATAATAATTCAACATTTTATATTGCTAGTTCAGGGTAGATCCGCTCCTAAAATTAACATTTTTTATTTATCTTTAGGCTCACGCCCCCTCCATGCTGAACCTACTGAAGGCCTCCATCCAGACCTACACCAAGGAGACCCCAAACAGCAAGCACGCCAGGAACTTCAAGACCTTGGAGATGGCAGCTGCGGGATTTATTCATGAGATCCAGTAGATCTACAATCTTGAGTAAATATCTCCAGTAGATCTTCAATCTCAAGTAGATCTACAATCTCCAGTTGATTTACAATCCCCAGTAGATCTACAATAAATCTTCACCATTTTGGAAGACACGGAACACAATATTTATAAAAGCCGACTTTGTTAAATTTGACCCCCGACCTTTTACTAAATACGATCATTTAAACCCTGATTTCCATCAGAATAGAATACTTATACTCATTACTCATATCAGATCCCGGTGTACACGCGTACAATTCTGTACATACAAAGATACTAATAGAATAACAATTATGTACAGCGGCCATTTATTTCATGTACACTTTATACAAAGACATAACCTGTACCGACTCGACAATTATTTTTTATTGTCTCTCCAAGTTAGTTACTGCATGACATATTGTATTCATGCTGATTTTTAGTTTATAAAGAAATCCTGCAGTTAACGCTCTACGGTACGTGAGCTTGCTCCACATATATTATTCATGCCAGCATTTTATATTCGTTCATTTGTTAAATAAAGTAATACAAAAATATTTGTATAATTCAAGAGCATGTTTTATTTTGGGTAACAGTCTTGGTAATAGTAGAGGTTCACTTAGATTTGACTTCATGGTTAGGATGTTATTGAGAAGATCAAACAAGATCATTCAGATTATCATTTCATTTCCGATGTATCATTAAAAAAGATTAAAGTGTTAAATGGATTGTAAGCGTAATTTCAAGTGACCCCCATGCAAAGATGGCAATGCCCGATTTACAAAAGTATCCTGTAAAGCTTTGTCTAATGTATGGCAAATTTCTCATTCATGTTACCATAGATACAACTATAGGTCGTATCTATCTATCATAGTAATCATAGTGTGCCTATGGTAGAAGGTCTGAGAAATTAGATCCGAGGAAGTCAATTTTTTTTCTTTTAACTGTTCATTTTCAATTGCAGTTTCTCTGCGAAAGTGACTTGCGCATTCCAATTGTTCATAAGAAGCAATGGAGAAACTCGCATGAATAAACACTTTCGTGTCAGATAAACGATCGGTATCTTAAACATTTTTATCAGATTAGATTTAGAGAAGTATATTTTATCAACAGGATATTGCGACTTGAAAATAATTAAATTGATTGAAATAAGCTATATTCATTATATCTACTCGTGGTTAATTGAGTTGTTGATTGTATGAAGAATGAGAGATGGGTGAATTAGAGGGAGTAATTTAACTCATTCCGTCCAATTATTTCTTACTTTAGTTCTCTGTCTTCCATGAATATTAATGCCAGAATCAATTATGTCGATAATGTGAAAGTGATTAAAAGATGAGGCTCTGGATGAAGGGGAGGGGGGTAAAAATATGCAAATCATTCTGTAGATTACACTTCTATGGGTTATATATCAGAAATACATGTGATGCCTATCGCGTGTTCCCGTGAAATGTGTCAAGTATCAATTAAAGTTAAGATTATGCAGGCTCGGTTTAGCAGAGTTAGGAACAGGCTGAGCTGAATCCCGGGACAAGTTTAATCTTTGCATTGCAGGGTTCAGGAAACCGGAAAGTTGTCCAGGCGCTCCACACACTCCACAGGCTGCCTGTTAGAGCCTGGCCAATCTCCACTCTAATATTGAAAGGACGGGTTGGGTCGACTCCGGGTCTGCTCCTGATACATGAGGAGAGAACTGAACCGGATTTATGTCCCAACACGGCGGTCTGCCTGGGCCTGAGAAACTAGTTTCCAGCAAACCATTAGAAAACTAGTTCCTGCTTAGCAGCTCTCGTCAAATCCGGACAGAAAGCCAGATATATTTATTTCTTTCTGCAAAATTGAGAAATTATTGTAAAATAGAGAATCCGAGTTTGACAGGATTAAACTAGTAAAACGTGTCGAAAATATGTTTAAATAAACTGCCATTGAAATCCTAATTCAGCTGGAAAATTAAATTGACACGTTTTTCAGAAATTCTCTAGTTACAGTTAATATAAATACAATGGTAGAGTTAAGATAGTGAAGGATGGAAACGGAGGATGAATGTGTAGACGCGAACTCCAACATGACGGGGAAACTCGTGGATTCTTTATCCGCAGGTATATTCATATTGGTTTTCTGTTAATATCTGGTATTTGGGTGAATGGGCTGTCACTGATTTTTTTGATAGCTCCGGTAATCTGGAGTCGCAGATTACCTGTTATTCTTTGGTTATCTTTGTATTTTGGTCTTCTGTTGTTCAAGGTATCTTGACATTCTAATTTACCTTGTATCCCACGTAACTTTTTATTCCAGCTATTCCCGGTACACCTGTAATCTGGTTTTAATAGTATGCTGCTATTCTTGTTGTTCTGGTATCCCAGGTATTCTGGTATCACAGATATCCTGGAATCCCAGGTATCCTGGTATCCCAGGTATCCTGGTATCCTGGTATCCTGGTATCCCAGGTATCCTGGTATTCTGGTATCCTGGTATCTCAGGTATCCTGGTATCCCAGGTATCCTGGTATCCCAGGTATCCTGGTATCCCAGGTATCCTGGTATCTCAGGTATCCCAGGTATCCTGGTATCCCTGTATCCTGGTATCCCGGTATCCCAGGTATCCTGGTATCCCAGGTATCCTTGTATCCCAGGTATCCTGGTATCCCAGGTAGCCTGGTCTCCCAGGTATCCTGGTATCCGAGGTATCCTGGTCTCCCAGGTATCCTAGGTATCCTGGTCTGAGGTCTCCCAGGTGTCCTAGTTTTTTAGTTATTCCATGTATCCTGGTATCCCTTGTAATTTAGGTATTCCATGTATCCTGGTATCTCAAGTATCCTGGTCTCTTCCAGGTATCCTGGTCTCCCAGGTATCCTGTTATCCCAGGTATTCTTGTATCCTGGTATCCTTGTATCCTGTTATCCTGGTATCCTCATATCCTAGACATACAAGTCTTAATAAACCTAAAACCATAATATTACAGATGAAGATTCAATCCTGGAGGAGGTTGTGGAGGAAGGACAAATTCTCATGCAGGATGTAGATGATCATCAGGTACCTGGACACATGGATAGGACCTTCAAGAACTTTTAAGGACTTATCATAGACATCATTAGGTACCTGGACATACCCATGGATAGGACCTTCAAAAACTTTTCAAGACTAATCATAGACATCATCAGTTACCTGGACATACACATGGATAGGACCTTCAAGGACTTTTCAGGACTAATCATTGACTTCATCAGTTACCTGGACATACACATGGATAGGACCTTCAAGGACTATTCAAGACTTATCATAGGCATCATTAGGTACCTGGACACATGGATAGGACCTTAAAGGACTATTCAAGACTAATCATAGACATCATTAGTTACCTGGACACATGGATAGGACATAAAAGGACTATTCAAGACTAATCATAGACATCATCAGTTACCTTGACATACACATGGATAGGACCTGGAAGGACTAATCATAGACTACATTTCACAGAGAGAGCGAATTTATTGTCAGTGTTTGTAATTATTATTATTTTTAACAATCAACCTACAGACAAAGTACAACGACCTGTAGGTTGAAATACAATGAAAACAGGATTGAGCTACTCCACTTGCCCTGGTCTATATTCTTGCTTTTTTAGCTCCGCGGCACTAAACCCAGATACCGAGAAAAAATCATTAATGTTTAGCATGTTTCAAGTTTGTATTTCCTGCTATAATCCTCACTTTATCCTTCAAAATTTATATTAATATTGGGATAAATGTTAAACAAGTTACATCAGGAAAAATTAAAACAATAACATGTTATTTCTCGACCCGAATCCGTCTCTGTATCAAGAGTAAATGAATCCTAAGCTCTGCTCCAACAAGTGAACAGACTCTTTATTATAATATTCTAGCAAGTGGTGATGTTAACGGGAGGAGAGATGGGACAGCAGCATATAGTAATTACAGACGGAAACCTGCCTCCAGGAGCTCAGGTAAAATAAACCACGGCCTTGAAGTAATTGAACTGGGTTCGGAGAGTTGAACTAGTTCTAGCTGTTATTAGTTCTCTTTTATATTTTTTCATTTAAGAATAATTTCTTACATCCTTCTTTGAATTGATTTAATTTATCGAAATTTTGGGAAAAGTTAGAACTTCGGTTATATCCAGTTTGATTAAACCTTGCTCCCGACGTTTTTTTGATCCACCCAAAAGTTTAATTCCCATATTTCCCTTTATATCCAAATTAATTTAGCCTTCTTCTCCTCAAATCCAAACTAATAAAGCCTTGCTCTGTTGTATCCAGATTAACCCAACCTGGCTTACCCTGAATCCAGGTTAATCTAAACATACTTCCCCTGTATCCAGATTAATCTAACCCTACTCCGCTTGTATCCAGGTTAATCTAACCATACTCCCCCTGTATCCAGATTAATCTAACCCTACTCCGCTTGTATCCAGGTTAACCTAACCCTACTCCGCTTGTATCCAGGTTAATCTAACCATACTCCCCCTGTATCCAGATTAATCTAACCCTACTCCCCTTGTATCCAGGTTAATCTAACCATACTCCCCCTGTATCCAGATTAATCTAACCCTACTCCGCTTATATCCAGGTTAACCTAACCCCCTGTATCCAGATTAATCTAACCCTACTCCCCTTGTATCCAGGTTAATCTAACCATACTCCCCCTGTATCCAGATTAATCTAACCCTACTCCGCTTATATCCAGGTTAACCTAACCCTACTCCCCTTGTATCCAGATTGATCTAACCCTACTCCCCTTGTACCCAGGTTAATCTAACCCTACTCCCCCTGTATCCAGGTTAATCTAACCCTACACCCCCTGTATCTAGGGTAATCTAACCCTACTCCCCCTGTATCCAGGTTAGTCTAACCCTACTCCCCCTGTATCCAGGTTAATCTTACCATACTCTAGGTTATCCAGCTCCCTGACGGAAACCACTCTATCGTGATGAACTCCCGAGTGATGAAGACTGAACCTGAGGATCTAAGTGTCCGGGAGGAGAGAGGGATGGTCAGGTTGCCTGGGAACCGTCAGATAAATCTTGAAGCTGGAGCTCAAGCTATTCAGGTTTAAATCATCTTTTAAACTAAGGCCGAATTTAAAGAATTTGGGCCGCGGCTTAAATATGGTTGGTTCTACTTAAAATTGTTTTCAATGTTTCAAGATTTAAACCGGCGCTTAATTGAAACCGGGTTTTAACGGATTTAAGGCGCGTCTCAAATTCATTTAATTCGGACACTACTCAATCATCATTCATCAGATATTAATCATTAAAATGTCTATGCACCTTAAGCGGACTTTTTATATCCATTGATTCGCAACTGTACCCTTCAAATCTTAATCCGAACAAAAATGTGGAAGATATTCTTATTTTTCTACATGAAAAAGTTTAATTCTGACAGTTTCCTTCATTGTTTGCGAAGCACCAATTCTCGAGTCATTTTTACAAAGAAATAGTAATTTGAAATTTATTCTTGTTCATTCAAATTTTAAGGGTATTGTTGTGAATCAGACATGACAATAGAGAAGTGAAGGGGTGCTCAAAAATACGCCACAGAAAATGCCCATATAGCAAAAGGCTTCTACATTTTTTCTATCTGAATTCTAATCTTCTAATTATAAATAAATATGCATCATGCATACTGCATTACTACATTACTGCATAGGAAAATGTTTCAAGGAACGCAAATAAATCATTAAATAAATAAACATGAATTAGATACAGCTGAAAGATTAATTTCTATTCAGGCTAGCGCTGCGGCTTGTGTACAAAATGTGATAAGAAATCTAAACATGAAGGACACAGAGAAGATTTCTATAATCACAGGAACAGGAGGACCAGCTTCTCAGGTATAATCTATTTACATAGATTTTATTCTAATTATTGTAAACAATAGGAAAGATTGTGAACATGGCTCGGAATTCTGAGGTGCACGGCCGTTATTGTTTATTGATTGTTGTTTAGTTACAATAAGAATAGTTTCTGATATATCCTTCAGATCACAGTACAATGTAAACAAAAACTATTATCTATTTTTCTATATTTTTTTTGGACTTTCAAACAATCGAATAACAACAAGGCCCCTTTTTTCGTGTTTTGATACAATTTGACAAATCACGATCGTATTCTTGCTTGTATTTGCTGTAGAAAGCCATCATACTCAATTTCTAGGAGTACCGCTGCCACTTGTCGTAAACAAAATCATTTCATACAGTTTTATGTTGCAGGCAGGGGCGTAGTTAGGAATGGTCCAAGGGGGGGACTAGTCCCCATAACCCCTCCCCGCTGACTAAGCATCTGGTTGTAGGCCGCTGAAAAATAGGGGACTCGAGACGAAATTTCAACTCAGCCCCTTTAAAAAACCGGGATAGTTACATGACCTTTAATCTTGATTAATTTCAGGAGCGAGTAGACCATGTTCTTATAGAGGATAGTTTACTGGACTCTATGCATGAATCTCCAGCTAAAAGAACCCGAACTACTGGACACGATCATCCGAAACTTACCATAGCTAAACAGTATTCTCCATTCGGGTTCCACTGCACCCTGGAGGCTCCAACCGCACAGTGGGTGCGGAGGGACGAGGATAGGTGCACGTATATGAATAAAGGACAATTTTACGGAGTAACCCTGGAGTACAGAGCAAATCCGGCCGAACCTATCACAGAATCTTTAGTTAATGTTCGCAGTGTTGTTATGTTGGTCTTTAGAGATGCAAAGGAAACCCATTTCAATTATTTATCTCCTTTCGTAACTCTCTATCAAATTGCGGGTTTGAAGAAAAAAATCCGCGTCCCACTTGATTGACCTGGCTTAGGTCAAAAGAATTAAGTCCTTGCCACAAACTCAAATTTTCTAGTCCCTTTATCACATGCAATCCAATGTGGTAGATTTCAAACTTAAAATTCTGTTAGATCAAATATCAAAGGTGTACACCGTTTCGTTTCAAAGAAATGGGGATTAGAAAATAAGAATGGCAAGGACTTAATTCTTTTACACAAAATTGCTGGAACGATTTTCTCTTCTATTCTTATATTTGAGTGAGATTTGGGACTTACAAAGATTTTAAAACACATTTTTTTTACATTTTCAGTTAATAATTTGAATGGGTTGTATAGAATCCCGACGATGAGTTAAACGCCTGGGAATTCTGGCACGGCCGGCAACCCACGAGCAAACAGAGAATCATCGACGCCGAGACGAACAACATGAGCGACCAAGTCGGGATTACGGAGATAGAGGATGTAGCGTACAATGCTATCGCTGTATATTGGAATCCCCTGGAGAAACCTGCGTTCCTCTCTATAGCACTGCAGTGCCTGTCTACAGATTTCTCCCTGCAGAAGGGGGTGAAGGGACTTCCCATGCATTTACAAATTGATACCTACGCTAAAAGTGGAAATGATGGAGATTATGATATAATACACCGGGCATATTGTCAGGTAAAGAAACTGCAGATATAGTTTTTGGTTAACATCCATTGTCTGCCAAATTCTCATTGATATCTGTTAATCTAAATTCTAGCAACAATAAGAAACATATCCTTGTTTTTTGTCGGATTGAGTGATAAATACTTAAAATTTCATTTTTTGCCTTTGCTCCATAAATCCGCAAATCATTGGATATAGACTTTGATTTTTAGTTAGAATAAAAACGGTTATTTCTGTTATCCTTAAAACGAGAAAGGTTAGAAAGTACCAATTTCAATCGAGCATTAATTAGAGGTTCAAATGAAATTACGTAATTTAATCGTTCATTAAAACTTCATAACCCTACCCCCCCCCCCCCCCTCCACTTTACTCCCAGAAATTTAAACACACACATCCGTGTTGATGTTCATGACTGGACTTATAACTAAAATCTCTGTTCTATAGGTGAAGGTTTTCTGTGATAAAGGCGCTGAGCGTAAGTTCCGTCAGGAGGAACGACGTGCCGCTAAGAAGGTTGCTGTTGGAGGACAGAGAGTTCTAGATATGTACCATTAGGTGATCAATTCAAAGTGACCATCAATGCAAAGCCCGATTCACAACTTGAAACCCTTTTCTGGTAAATAATGTTGAAGATATTTCAGGTTCAAAAGGGTTTCAATCTGAAAATTTATATATGTTTTCCTGCAGTAGAAATGCGCAAGTCGCTTTAAGAAACCCCACAATTGAAAATAATCAGTTTTCCTTATTATAAACATTGATGTCTATATCATACTTGATCAGACAAAGCTTTTAAACGGTTTAAATCGACTTTTGCCATCTTTGCATGATATGGTCACATGAAATTACGCCTACAGTATAACCTGATGTTCAAACCTCACTATAAAATTTAAACTTTGTATGAATGTATTCTCTGTACTAAATATTAAAAACTAGCGTTGCCCGTAAAAAAAAATTTGTAGGAAAAAATTTTTTTTTTTTTTAGCCTATAACACCCCCCGGTCACCCATGAGTGTCCAGCCGTTTGGCCGGCCATAGGGAACATATATATATATGAATGTCTTTTTTCATTATAATGATTTTTTTATATTCAGTGTTCAAATTATTTTTAATATTTAGGACGTTATACATGCAACTTTAACTAGGTCTAAGCTTTTTAAATCTAAAAATAAAAGTATCTCTAAAGGATATTCAAATATTTTAAGTTTAGCCATAATCCTTTCCAACTTATTTTCCATTTATATCTTTTCATATTTTTAAAATCTGTGTACTTAAAAATTTTGTTTGAAATCTGAAAAATCATGAAAATATTTTGAAAATAGTAGATGGTGGCTATTTGTCAAAATATTTTTAAGAATTCTGACCCCAGCGGAAGAAATATTTATTTTTATGTTTTCCAAATTCTATGTGAAGTAAATTCTCCTTGGATTTGAGTGAGGGAAAATTCGATTTATAAAACCCTAATTATTAACCAAAATTGGAAATTTCCCAAATTTATTTTTATAGAAAGGCACATACCAATGGAAAAGAAATGAGATGTCTTTTATGTGTATTTGATGTTATTAGACAAATTAAGTGAAATTGAAATCATCTGAAATTATATTCCCTAGTGTTATGGGTCACACTGTATTTATATCAATACAAAATTTAATGTTGTGTTTGTTCAGGATAGATCTGATTTTTACTCCATGGTTGATTTATCCCGAATACCAGTTCTATACATACCTTCCAGCTCCGACACACCCCCTTTACACTCCGTCCTGGGCGGACTGGGCGTATCCCCCTCCAACCCCACGCCCCCTGGACTATCCCTTCTAAAGAACAGCACTGTGATTCCTGAAAGGCGGAGAAAATCCTTCCCGCCCCCTGAGACTAGGATGGTGGTGTATGTAAGACAGGAGAATGAAGAGATATATACGCCCCTGCACCTTGTACCGCCAACTGTGCCTGGTCTAGCCAGAGCTATAGAAACTAAATATAATGTTTCAGCGACTGCCATTCGGTAAGATTGTATTTTTAGTGTCGTACAATCGAGAATTTGCGTTTTTAAGTTAGCTCCGATGAGATATTATTTTATTCCATTTCTTGTCATTTTTTTGTGCTTTTGATTTGATAGGGTTCAGATTTGTTTCGAAAAATAAGTTAGAACATTTCATTCTTCTTATTTTGATTGTGTACTATGTTTAAACCAGAGGTTTAATGTTTTTTTATGATGTTTTGGGAATAACTAGAAATATATTTTTTTTCGAGGAATGGATAATAGAACTTGCATATTTAGTCACCCTTTTTTAACTGAGGAAACCATGATTTTAAAAAAAATCATGGTCTGAGCGTATTAAAGGCTAACCCACCCCCCCCCTCTCCCCTCAGGAATTGTTTGGGTCCCAACGAAAGCTGCCCCCCCCCCCCCCACTCCTGAACAAATTCCTGAATACGTTCCTGATCTTGATGATTCTTAAAATTTTCATTTATTTTATGTATTACACTTTTTAGATATCTTTACCGACGGAACAGTAAAGGAATTATAGCAAAGCTGGACGACGACCTTCTGAAGTTCTACTGCAACGAGGACACCTTCCTCATGCAGGTCACTGCCATAGAGCTGGAGGGGGTGGCTGGACAGGAGAGCATAATGTACGACATCACCCTTTGTGAGATAAATGACTGAAACCTATAGTTATATGATCCTCTTATTCCAGTGCAACTAAACTCATGTTCATATCTTCAGGCGGCGGCGATCTTTTACCAAATATACATTTATATATACATATTGTGGGTATGTGAAACCAACCTAAAACGTTATTCTTGAAATTCGCGAATAAATAGAAGAGTGTACCACTGCAAACTGTAGGTCTAAATAATCGGTTCGAAATATACCTTCCGTGTTTTCAGATATATATATTTTTACGCTGAGATGTTAACACATTGTTATAGAAAATACAATAAATTTTGACAAGTGTTTTGTAGTTTAATATATACCAGCTGAAGTGCCGGGCATTGCCCATGTAGTTTTTAAAAATCGAATTTTGATGAAAAAAAAATAGATTTTTTAAATTTCGAATTTTTGCAGAAAAATATTTGAATATTTTTTGTTACGATACATGAGTACTCCACTTTCAGGTTCCTGAAAAAATTGCAGTCTAATTGATCCAACCGTTTGGACAGCTATAGATATCAAATATTACAAATATATGTGTACAAAGAGCTTTATATCTGTTTTTATACTTTGCTTGTCTGGGTGGGTGTTTGTTTGTTTGTTAGTATCCAATGAACGGCTGAACCGATTGGGCCCAAATTTTTGAAAGTGACCTCAGGTTAGGTATGATTGACTTTGAAAATTTTGAAAATCCACGACATTTTTTTTAAAGTCTGCGAATTTAGTATTGTGTTTCTTATACGATGTATGTATATAAAGAGAAAATGTTCATTATCGAAATAGAGGATGGGCGCGAAGCGCCCTAAAAGCCTAGTTTCATAGTTGTATATAATTGGTTTGTCTGACAGTTCTTGTAAATTGTAAAACGACGAAACCGCTCGGGGAAAATTTTAGGGGCAACAATCACGACTCTAGAAAAGGTTTGTGGACCGAAAATTGAACATTTTTACGGGGGAAAGTCTCGATTATTATTATTTCTAAAAATACATTTTTAACGAAAAAAATACGGAAAAATTTAGGTTCACAATAACAAAGGAATAAATGGTGAATTGAAGAAAGAGAGCAACATTGAAACGATAATTTTGTTGATTTGTTGATATGAAAGGTGTCGCAAAGCGCCATTAAACCATAGTTTCGTAATATTTATAAAATGACAGAAAAAGAATAGTATTTTTAACAAGCATCTTAATGCGGGGTTATACCAGTATGACTTTGCATGCGCTTAACGCATGAAGTTTTCATTTTTGCAAACAGCTTTTCAGAGACAAGGCATTTGTTTGACAACTTAGAGATTTTAAACTTAAACGGGATATTCTCTAGTTCAGTGGTTTTTATTCAAATATAATAATTACTCTCTTCACTGGGAGTTTTTAATTGTGAATGGCGCTTCCCGAACATTATCAGACGCCAGGGGGAGTCTATTATCTATCTTGTTTCTAGTTAAAAAAATCAGATTTCTTGAAATTGCTGGTACAACTTTGCGAACTAGTTTTGATTTGATTTGGTTGCATATTTGAAAATTCAAACGTTTTCTTCTTGGCTCTTCAAAGTCAACCTGAGTCGAAAACTTTAGAATGGTGGATATTGAGATTAGTGCTTGATCATCTCTTTTTCTTAATATCGAGACTAACCTATACTTGTATCCTAAAAAGTGTAAAAAATTCAACCCATCAGAGTCGCATATATGAAGCCGATAAAGGAATTGAGTCTTTGCCACAAACTCTGATTTTCTAATCTCTATATCTTTGCAACCCAATGTTGTAGACCTTAGATATTTCAAACTATGAATTGTTATAGATCAAATAATCTAAGTTTGAAATAATAAAGGTTAACACAATCAGCTCGCAAAGATATAGGGAATAGAAAAGTAGAGTTTGTGTGAAAAAACTCAATTCCTTTGAAATTTTGGGCGCCATTTAAGATTATATACAGGAACGGGAGGGACTCTCTAAATAAAAAAGCTGTTTGCCTTTTCTCTACTATATTCAAGAAAGAACGGTTTAAGAAGAAAATCAAAAGTGTTTCCATTGGATACTGTGATTAAGTAATCGGAGGTCGAATTTAAAGAATTTGAGCCGCGGCTTAGATATGTTTGGTTCCACTTAAAATTGTATTCAATGTTTCATGATTTAAGGCGGCGCTCAATTGAAACCGGTTTTTGGCGGATTTGTGACGCGGCTCAAATTCATTAAATTCGGACTCAGGATTAAGGATATCTCATTCTAAAGTTTTCAGCTCTGGACTATAAACAAGGGCTAGATAAGTTTGATTTCTTCAATTTGGATTTAATCGCGATTTGGTTTATAATAAACAATCTTAAAATTTACATAGTTGGCTTTTTAGAAAAGAGAAAATGATTGATTGGTCAAATTGGGATCGAAAGTCACAGCTTTCTGGGTCAAATTGACCCAAATCTGCGTGATAAAGAGTTATGATTTCAATTTATATTTTGGAATATACTTGAATTTGAATAAACAAGTGGTAACTTTTTTATAGGTCTGGATTTATGCACAAGTGTGAGTAATGCATTTTTTGGTTACTTACTAGAATTAGAAAACAGTTTGATCTTCACAATAGCTCTTAAATGTGGATTTTGAATCTTAAGCAAGATTTACTTTCATTTGACGTGAAAACTGTTTAATGTTAAATACCATTTTAATTATTAATTATTAAAAATTATTATTAATTAATTATTAAAAATTATGGATTTATAGATATATGTTAATTTCACGAAATGGCGTTAAAAATTAATCAAATTTAATTTTTAGGTTTTTTGTAAAAAAAAATGTGTCCCTTGAAAACTAAGTTTAAATAAAACCTCAGCATAATTGTATAGAGTTTTATTAAAAACTCCCAGCTGTTAAACTCTCTTTCTGGTTAAATATTAAATATTAAATATTAAATATTAAAAAAGTTGCACTTGTTCTTCCCGCTGTACTGTTCTATTGTTCTATTAAGTTAGATAAAAAAATCGATAGTTTGAAATTAGGATAATTTCGACCCTTTCTGTCTTTCTGCTTCACTCTGATATACAGGGTGTCCCACGAAACATGACATTTGGTGAATAGTTTAAAATGTCTTCTTCCATGATTTGTTAAGTTGTTTGATACCAAAAATGACAGTAATATTATAGTAAAATTGATTTCAAGCAAATATGTATTTGAAGAAAAGATTTGTTTAACGAAATAAAACTGCAAAAAGTCATAAATAACTAATACAGTATCATGGAAGAAGACATTAAAAACTATTCACCAACTGTCGTGTTTCGGGACACCCTGTAGTATGGAGATGTATGTAAGATAACAAAGAATTGAAACAGAAAGTCTCAAAAAACAAGAAAATTTCAATATTCAGTCATATTAAACTATTCCATTTCTTTGTTGAAGAAACATTCAATTACAGCTTTCTTTGCACGGGGAAAGAGCTAAGTGTACTTCTTAATTAATGCGCGCAGAACAAAAAATGTGTTTCTTTTTTTAATTTGTGTTGAACATTGTAGGTTTAAACTGCTGCCTAAAATTATTTTAAACTATGTAAATTTTTCGAAACCGAGGTTTAACTGTACCCATAATGACGGGGGGTTAACTGTACCTATAATGACCGAGGTTTAACTGTACCCATAATGACCGAGGTTTAACTGTACCCATAATGACCGAAGTTTAACTGTACTCAGTCATTGTCAATATTAAACGGCATGAAAACCATCTTTATTCACGATTTAGCCTTTAAATTAGAAACATCGGGTTTTGTAATTTTTAGTGCCTTAACATTTAAAGAGATTTAACAGTCATAACAAATTTTAAAATCTGTAGTTTGTCTGCCTGTTTGCATGAAGTTAAACGTCCAGCCGATCGGACACAAATTTTTGTGGCAACCAACCACGATCCCATTAACAGAAAATAGTTTTCCTTTATTAATTTAGAAAGCCTATTAATACTTACTGAAATAACTGCAAAAGGAACGGAATTCTTTCCACAAACTCGAATTTTCTAATTCCTATATCTTTGCAACCTGATGTGTTTTACACTTACGAAGATAAAATGTCCGCTTGAAAAGCAAGATACAAACGCTTGAATTCTTGCTAGTAGAGAGGCACGAGGCGTCCTGAAAACCTAGCCAAGATGTTTCCACATTCTAATACATCAATGTGTTTTTAAATCAAAATATAACAAAATTACGGATTTTTTTTACGAACCAAACATTTTTAGTATTTCTTCCATGCAAAAACAAAAAGTACTTAAAGTACATATATAGCAAAAACTAAATTTTATTTTAGTGTATAATATATTTTTAAATCAATTATTTACATTTTGTACATAAATTAAGTAGGATTAAAGCTTTTTAAAATAATAAGGTATTTATAAACTTTTTTAAACCGAAAAACACAATTTTGATAATGAATTCAATTTAAAAATTATATTAAGTAAAAATAGTTATGTGAAAGAAAATTTTCTTTTAAGCATGTTCGCATCTAAAAATTAAGAATGACATGATTTTCCTTATTATCTTAAAGCTTTAAAAATAACAATCATAATAACAAATTGAATTTCTATTTTTAAACAACTTATAAAACGTTAACACACACAAAAAAGCGTTATTTACAAAAAACTTTACAAACTTTAATGCCTTCCAAGCAGTTTACAAGTCTAGACTATATATTATATTGCACCTCGTTATACAGGGTGTCGCAATATACGTCTTTTTTTTGAGACACCCTTTATTATTGGTTAATTTAGGATCACTAACAAACTTTTAACAGAACAGAACTTTAAAATTTATAAGAATAGAAACAGCAAATTTAAAATAAAAATTGAATGATAAAATGAAATAAAATGAATTAGAGATGACCTTGAAAATTTCGATATTATAATGTAAAGATTTGGTGACAGATTATGTAAAAGTGAAACTTTACAATCCTCCATTTTGTTTTTGAAATCATGTTTATTTATATTTTGGTTGGGAGTAAAAAACAGAAAAAGCAATTTGAGTTTTTGCCACAGACTCAGAAGAGTTCTAATCCCTATATCTTTGCAATCTTATGGCGTAAACTTTTGATATTTCAAACTTAGATTCTCTAATCCAATAGAATTTATAGTTTGAAATATCTAAGGTCTACTATATTGGGTTGTGAAGATATAGGGATTAAAAAATCAGAGTTTGTTGTAAAGACTCAATTCCTTTGAGGATTCCTAGTGTAAGTATTTCTTGGTCAAATTTAGTACTGTCGAGACAGATAATATTCTTGGTTAGTTTCAAAATATCATGAACGTCAGTCAAAATATTCGAAAACAAATATCAAAATATTCGAAAACAAATATCAAAATATTCGAAAACAAATATCAAAATTAAAAATACTAATTAGGGGTTACCGGGAAAACAAACAAATATAGTTTATTAGAAAATATATAAAAATTATTTTTTGAAATTCAATCTTTTTAATATTTTACGCTTGACAAACTTTTACCAACGTCAGTTGTATTTTTAGATTAAATTAGAAAGAAAATCTACGTCAATGAAAGATATTTGCTGAATAAGTAAATGAACAGGGTTATTCATCAAACATGAAACATGATCATATGATTGCCGTAAATGATGTTAATGAGCAGAGAACTGCGGGTTATGAAATGAATATAAATTATTTTTTAAATCGTTCCAGTCGTCTTCGTAATCTCACCAAGTCCATCAATAAAAGATAAAAATTGGTGAGAATTGAAAAAGCTCCCAATTTTGAGAATGGTTCGATTGGAGTTGAAATGAATTATTGATTTTTGCGGATTTTCTGATAATTATAGATTTACATCGTCTCGTGTATATCTGCTCTTGCTATGATTCCTGACTGTATATACGTCTTGATCGTAATCTGTCCAGTTGTTATCTGTGGTTGTATCCCAGTTATCGCTGTCGGGCAAACTGTCCCCGTCCCTAGATCCCCGGGATCTATACCCGCTGCTTCCCCGGTCCCCGTGGCTGGACCGGTAGGCGGTCAGGTTGTCCCTGGACCTAGAGCGGGACCTGGACCTGGCAGATTGTCTGGTGGATTTCCTAGCCATGGACCTGTTCAGAGCTGAGGCTCTAGATCGTCTTCCATCGTCAACTAGAGATTGTCGGGAGGAACGGATATCTAAAATATCAAATCTGGCTTAATATTCATATATACAGCCTATGGATTTTTTTACTCCTTGTTTATTCGCCCATTTTCTAACGGAGAAACGGTATCTGCTTAGGTTACTTCCGCCCATAGTGAAACTTTCCAAGATAATTTTATTATGAGAGGAGAAAAAAAGATCCTCTCTCTTTCATCCTTAGAAATTTGTGCATCACGACTTTAATAATCTTAATCATCGCCCCTTCATCATCAAATCTGAGGATACTATACTCTCTCAAGTTTCTCCGGATTTAACTAGGGATAGATCTGTAATAATATCCGCTCTAACTCCGAGTAGTGCTAGACACTGGATAGCCTTTATAAGATATGTTTTTTTTAAAGTTTAACTGTTTTAAAGAAACTCCTTCAAAATTTTCTAACCCTCCCCAGACCATTACAAAATAATATTTTGCCTCCCCCCCCCCCCCAGCAAAAGTACTAGTTGCGCCTCTATGACCAAAGTCCTTTTAACCATAAAGAAAACCTAATAAATAAGATCCCCAACATTGTGGCTCTAAGGACTAGAAGGAAGAGAAGTGCAGAGCATGATTACGTATTTATCTGTCGACTTGAAAGTACACAATGTACCTCTAAGGACTAGACGGAAGAGAAGCGCAGAGTATGATTACGTATTTATCTGACTACTTGAAAGTACACAATGTAGCTCTAAGGACTAGACGAAAGAGAAGCGTAGAATATGATTACGTATTTATCTGACTACTTGAAGGTACACAATGTAGCTCTAAGGACTAGACGGAAGAGAAGCGTAGAGTATGATTATGTATTTATCTGTCTACTTGAAAGTACACAATGTAGCTCTAAGGACTAGACGGAAGAGAAGCGCAGAGCATGATTACTTATTTATCTGTCTACTTGAAAGTACACAATGAGCAAAATACGTATTCTCTACTTTCTCGTAAAATATGAGATGTCATCTTCATTATATATTTACAACCAATTGTCATTCTAACTGAAAGCTTGCGGAATTTATGAATGAATTGATAGAGGTTAGATCGGTTCGATTTCTCCAGGTGTTAAAATATATACAGTAGATACAACCGCTATATGGAGGAATTTTAAAAGGTTTCCACCTAACTATGTATAGATGTATAAATAACGGTATATAGCTAGCTAGGTCAGATCTATGATAGAGAGATACAAAGAGAGAGTAAACTTCAAAGTGTAAATTTATTAAACCTAGCAATTCGGGGCGGTTTGCGCCACTTGTTTATGTTTTTAAAATTATTTAGTTTAGCTTTATTTACAATCATAAGTCACCCGCCTTGTTTTACATAATCTAATTGGACGATCATTTTTTATAGAAAAAGATTTTGAGGTATATAATTAATCCTAAAAACTAAATCCATAGAAAATTTATTTGTTCAAAAATAATTTTTGTTTTTGTAAATGTGAAATTTCTGTATTTATAAAAGACGTTTAATTTCATTTTAACCATTCAAAGAATTGCAATCCTTTTATTTATAATAGTTTAAATAATAATGCAATAAACATTTTAAGTATAAGATAGTTTCACAATCAAATATTGTAATCTGTGATTTAGAAATTTTAACAAGACGTCAAAGATTTAACCAAGGAGTATGAAATAGAAGGGAAATACAACTGACGGACCCGCCCTACCATATGATTATACATGCTTTGCAGACGGTGCATTTGTATAAGAAATATTCAGAATAGGTTATTGTATACGCGGTAATTGTACATCAGACAAATATTTCTTATAAAAATGAAGTACCGTCTGCAAAGCATGTAAAATCATATGGTAGGGCGGGCCGCGTCAGTTGTATCTCCCTTCTATATCATACTCCTTGGATTAAACTGCTTACAGTTATACGATGTATGTGTTACAAGTTTCCCATCATCCATGCATGACCATCAAATTAGACAAATCCGTGAGAAAATGTTTTACTGGACGAACCGGATTTTGGAAAGCGCTGCAGACGATAGCAGGGGGGGGGCTATGGGTGCTAAGCCCCTTCCTTTAAATATTTCGCGACCATCACGGGGGGGGGGGCCTAAAAATCGTGCAAGGGCGTAATTTAAAAAATTACCGTTTCTGCTGCTCTGGTATTTGTTCTGGTATCCTCCTTGGCCGAATAATCCATGCTCAGATCGGCCGTCGGCCATTGACCTTGACCTTGACCTTGTAGACATCTGGGATATATGTGACCTCGCATCCTCCGGTATATAGCCTCCGTTAAGGGTTCCTTAATAAAATATTTTTATGGAAACCAAGCCTAAAGTTTTATGGAGAGTTATAGGACGTTAAGTATTAAAAAAGGAATTGTCCTTGCCACAATCTCCGATTTTCTACCCAATGTTGTTGACCTTAAATTTATCAAACTATGAATTCTAGTTTCATCAAATAATCAAAGTTTGAAATATCAAAGGTTTACACCATCAGATTGCAAAGATATGGGGATTATAAAATGTAGAGACGTCCTTACCTTGTCTAGGATCCATGTGATACATCCGTCCTCTGTTCACACTTCGATCTGTTTTCTGACTGTACATGGATAACTGGTCCCAGTCCTTTTGATGCGGACTCAGTCCTAGGCTTGCTAGTCCAGCCAGGGGAGCTACTGGAGGTCCTAATCCTGCCATGTTCAGTCCGTTCATAGACATGGAGAGAGTATGGATCGGTTTATCTTCCAGCAACTTCTTAGATTTCTTATTACTAGACTTTAGACAGGCGATAAAGATAATAACCGCCACGATCACACAGACAACAATGGCGGTTGAGGCGGGTATGATGATGTTGTCGAGCTTCTTGGCCCCGCCGATCCCTTCAGTTCTCATCTCCCTGCACTGAGGGTAGGGTACGTTGGCCGGAGTGATCTCCACCTCCTCCAGGGATACCACGCACACAACAATACATTCCTATAATAAAGAAGTAAAATACAGTTTTTGCAGTTAGAAGATGGGTTAAACTATTATACCAACCACTAACAACAATCATTATTAATATTTCTAGATGCTTAATAAACTTAAATTCTCAATACTTATTTCAATACCCTGAACTTAAATACTATAATATCATCAAAATTCTTATTTTTATCTTAAATTCTACAAAAGATTTGTATCCCAACGATTGAAAAATAGTTACTCACATTGTCGGGAACATTTTTGATCTTGAATTCTCTCTCGCTAGGAGCCAAGGGTGGACCCTGTTTAAAGAGCGGGGTTCCAAACAGACGATAGATTACTCTGAACCCGAGAATATTGGTTGTCTCCGAGTCCCATTTGATCACTATAGAGTTGTCCTCTTTATAGGCCTCCTTCACTATCACGTCCTCCACTAGCGCCTCCTGGGCGATAAAATCCGAGTCTGGCCTCAGGATCAAATCATTCGGCCTGGATTCAGATACGCTGTTAGATCGATCCAAGGATCGGGGGATTGAGTTCGAGACTGGGTTATTGTCTATTTCCGGTCTTCGGGAGATAGTTGATGAACCTCGTCCTATCAGAGGTTGAGTCTCCCGTCCTAGGAAGGGTTCTCTTCTTGGTAAAACGGGTTCTCCTGCTCCGATCTCCATCTTGAGTTCTGTAATCACATCTCCGGGTCTGGGAGAGGGTTGTCTAATCCTGGGACCAGATGAGGTTTGAGGAGGAAACCTTGTCGTTGGGCCAACAGACCCTCCTCCTCCTCCTCCTCCTCCTCCTCCTCCAAGAGAAGATCGAACTACGGTTTCTGGAAAGGGTGCAGGGTTTGGCTCTCTCGGAGGAATAGAGTTCATAACTCTTCGGGGAAAGGAGGGGATCGGAGGATTGGTGTGAGGGTTGGTCGGAGGAAGAGGAGTGGTGGAAGGCACTCTTTCTGTTGAAGGAGGAGCACAGGTTAAATCTAAAATAAAAAATTATTTTAAAAAATGGTTTCTTTTAGCTTTAGATAAATAAATACTGATTGTGTTTAAATAGATTTATCAAACTGTTGTCTGGGAAATTACAAGTTTGTGGTTTCGGATTAATTCTCACCGTTCTCGTTGAGTTGGTAAAAACTCCGTTCTCTCAGCTGAGACGGATTCCCACAGAATTGAGGATTTCGCTCCCGTGACGTCACTTGGAGATCATATTCCTGAATCCAACGGGGAACCCAGGCCATCCTGCAGTCACACGTGAGGAACCGACCTCCGAGGCTCAATCCCTTCAGTGAGGAGTTGAGGTGGAGGAACGCGTCCTCCGGGACAGAGGCCATGGGGTTTCCGTCCAGGGCGAGCAGGGTTAAGGATCGGAGGTCGGAGAAGGCATTGTTTGGAATGGATCGAAGAAGATTGAACCCAAGATCCAAAACCTGAAATTAAGAGTACGGTTAAATGTTGTCCAGAGAGAGAGAATGATTAAAATCTGATCTTGGTTCATCCCATATCGTGCAGTAGTTTACCCCTACTCAGCCAGGAGGTGGGAATTTACAACTATGTGATCTATGCTGTGTCATTCTAGATTACAATTTACACCCCNCCGTCGATAGCAAAATATCTTTTATAAACTTTGATCTTCCTATTGATAGAAATAAAGATAACACTGTAGAGGATGAAATCCCCGAAAGAGGATTGTAAAATTCGCAAATGAGAAGCGTTGGATTCTGGAACCTTTTGAAAAAACGAAATAGGAGACATGTGTACGTATAATATGTCAAGATATATATCTCTATATGGTTGCTCCGTATCAGTCATGTTTATTACACTATTTAAATCCATATCTTTAAAAAAAGTCTTTATTTTGTTCCACATTTTTTTGGTTACCTCTCTGTAAAAAAATAGAAATGTGACCGGAAACAAATAAATCGATAATGGAGATAACACAGGTACATTTAAAAAATTATGTTTGAATCAGTTTTTAAGAAAACTAGAATGCAGGAAAACATGCTTCCTAGTCATGTGCAGTATATGGATTTGGGAAGACAACAAAAAAAAGATAATTTTTAACATGAGGCCATGAAAGGGAAGGGGGTCGGGTTTAGTGTTTTTATTTGAATTAATAAATATGTTAAAAAGGACTGTAGTTTATTTTCTTATGTCTCTCAAGTAGGCTAATTGGGTTTATGTAGTGTTTAGAGTAGTGGGCGTGTATGAATGTATCTTGTATAGATTACTAACCATACAGATAGAACACTATATGTCGTCTTTTCAAGATTTAGGAGTTTTTCGTTTACGATAAACCTAGGGCAGAAGCCAAAAGAATTAAGCGCAGCCTGCGTTTAATGACACCACAGAGAAAGAGCATGCGCATAACTACTTTGGACATCTGCAGCCTTAGGGTTATTATGAACGAAAAACCCCTAAATCTTGAAAAGGCAACATTTAGTTGTTTTATCTATATTGTTATTAATCTATAGAATGTATCTTGTAAGGACGGATCTGATGTTTTCTATACTAAAGATCAGGATACAATGGGTTCTAATACAATTGCTAAATAAAACATGATTCTAACCACCATCTGACAAGCAGAACAATATACAGGCTCAACCCACATATTCATGTACACCAGACAAGTTATTTGCTTTCAGAAAACAAGGAGGTAAGCTAAATAAACAGGGTGTCCCACATCATATCGGATTGTGTTATAGCTTTTCGAGCAGTACGTGCGTATTTTGACGTTGAAGCTTGGAGATAATGTAACATGCTCTGTATAGGGAGAATATGTAAGTTAGTCCCAAGATCATATTTGATCAAAACTTTAACGCAAAAATGATTGAAGAATCCTGAATTTTCTGCAAGCCATTTTTAATATTAACCTTTTATACCTTTTGAACTGTCCAAAAAATGCCAAAATATAAGATTTTTTAATCCTATTTATATCTGCAACCCAGACCTTGGATATTTCAAACTATGAATTCTGTTAGATCAAATAATCTAAGTTTGAAATATTAAAGGTTTACACCATCAGGTTGCAAAGATAAAGACAATTAAAGGAAATTTGAGTTTGATGGCAAAAACTCAATTCCTTTTAAAGCTATGCACGATATTATTTTGGACGCCATGTGTTTCTGCTAAATGATTAAGAATATTAATATATATTCCCCCCCCCCACTATGTGTTGTGTATGAATGTCTATTTCAAGAATACCGTCTGTGTTGCTTTAAACCTGAAGAAGTGTTGTTACTGTAAAAATATTGGCCTGTATGCTTGTATGCCTGTAGTGAGCCTGGGGGATGGTTTGACCATATGGTTTCAGTATTTTCTAACTGTACTCATCCCCCAACCTGGAGAGAAATCAAACCTAAACCTAGCTTCTCAATCAGTTCATCTTATCCATACATAAACCTTAACCTTCTCAATCAGTTTATCTTACTCATATAAACCTAAACCTAGCTTCTCAATCAGCTTATCTTATCCATACATAAACCTAAACCTTCTCAATCAGTTTATCTTATCCATCCATAAAACTAAACCTTCTCAATTAGTCCATCTTATTCATATCTAAACCTAAACCTAGCTTCTGAATAAGTTCATCTTATCCTTATATAAACCTAAACCTAGCTTTTCAATCAGTCCATCTTATTCATATATAAACCTATACCTAGCTTCTTAATCAGTTCATCTTATCCATACGTAAACCTAAACCTTAATTCTCAGTCAGTCCATCTTATTCATACATTAAGCCTAAACCTTGCTTCTCAATCAGTTTATCTTATCCATACGTAAACCTAAACCTTCTCAATCAGTCCATCTTATCCATACATAAACCTAAACCTTCTGAATCAGTTTATCTTATTCATACATAAACCAATATTTACGTAACCCTATAAATTTAACTGCGCTGCAAAAGTACACAAGTTGCAAACGACTGAGAGGATGCCATCCTGCAAAAAGTTAAAGTTAAAGTTTGAAAAAATGTTAAACTGTTCTGCCGGAAATGATAATCTTGTCAAAAATATCATAATTTAGCTTGGATGAAGGTGAAATCTGATTCCCTTGCTGTAGGACGGAGCACGATTCTAGTTATCCATTCCCAACATATTCAGGGGGCTAACCAGGTGGAGTAGGATACTAGGGTATCCCAACCTATTCAAGGGGTAAACAGGAGGAGTAGGATACTAGGGTATTCCAACCTATTCAGGGGGTAAACAGGAGGAGTAGGATACTGGGTATTCCAACCTATTCAGGGGGTAAACAGGAGGAGTAGGATAGTAGGTATTCCAACCTATTCAAGGGGTAAACAGGAGGAGTAGGATACTAGTGTATTCCAACCTATTCAAGGGGTAAACAGGAGGAGTAGGATACTAGGTATTCTAACCTATTCAGGGGTAAACAGGAGGATTAGGATACTAGGGTATTCCAACTTTTCAGGTGGTATTCAGGAGGAGTAGGTTATTAGCTATCCCAATTAATTAAGAATGGATTTAGTCCAATCCTACTCTTTCACAATTCATTTAACCTATCAACACTCTCTACTTTACTTCAACTTCTCAATTTACTGAACCTATTTCAACTCCTTTCCAATCTATTGAACTAATCCATATTCCCCACTATACTTCCCAGTAAATTCACCTATAGAAATTTATCACTCCTCAAATTTGTCTGAATCTCAACCCCCCNCCCGGATATATAGTTGTGAAACCCCTGGGTAGATTAGTACCCCCCGGATATATAGTTGTGAAACCCCTGGGTAGATTAGTACTGGCAACTGCAAAGTTTCCAACCAAAACCAATGTCAGGGTATGCATGAATTTATCATTGAAACATTAATGTCTGTTAAGTTCTCGGGGGTAGAAATATAGGGCAATAGAAGAATAGGAGTAGACAAGGAGAATATGAGTAGAGTAGGAGGGGAATATGAGGGAAGTAAGATAATATGAAATTGAGCAGGGTGACTTTTATAGGGAAAACTCAGTTTTCCAGGGAATGCTGGGTTCCCGAGCAAATATACATATAGAAGACTTTAATGAAGGTAGATTTCAATATCTCTGGATTAATTTAAGTGTTTTAAATCGTCATTAAAGGGAGTGTTCGAGAAAAACGAAAGGGGGTAGTGGCTTACAGCGAAAAATAAACGCTTTTGATCGCTTCTAATCTTATTCTATCTGTTGCGTCTATAAGGAGAAAATTGTTAAAAACTACTCATACCGAAGAACGTAGCATCCATACAAATTCAGAAAGTTGCAACATTCAACTCGGATCGTGAAAAAATCAACTTCATTCCAATTAAATCATTAAGTATACCAATAATCATCATTTGAATTCTTTTTACTTAATATGTCACTGTCTCCGGATTTTCGAACATTTCTTGAAAATATGAAAATGTCGTCTTCATTATAAAAAGTCCTTGAAACAGGAATAAATGTTTTCATGAAAATAAAAAAAAATACTATGAAATATCAACTATGTAAGAATGCGTCGAAAAATAATCGATGACATTTGTTTGCAAATTCTGAATGATTTGTTTGGAATTAAATTGATTTTTTACGATCCAAGTCCAATATTGCAACTTTCTCATTTTGTTTGGGCACTACGTTCTTCAGTATGAGTCGTTTTTAACAATTTTCTCCTTAATGACGCAATAGATAGAAGTAAGATCAGTAGCAAAGCAATCACCATCGAATGTTGTTCGGAAATAAATTGATTATTTTACGATCGGAGTTGAATGTTGCAACTTTCTGTATTTGTACGGACGCTACGTTCTTCAGCATGAGTCGTTATTTAACCATTTTCTCCTTATAGACGCAACAGATAGAAGTAAGATTAGAAGCGATCAAAAGCACTTATTTTTCGCCGTAAACTTATACTTTCATCGAACACTCCCTTTACAGTCTCATCTTTTATGGATATCCCTGTACTTTGTATAAGATTAATAATCCTAGTTTATTTTGTCACAATTTTAGAAATTTATCAAATATTTTCCAAATTTTTAACAAAATATTTCTAAATATAAATTTTTTGTAATCCGTTCTCACATCTATTTTAGAATATAAGGTAATTATAGATAACTTAGACCGGACAAGTTGCTCGGTTCTTTGTTCCAGTTTGGTTACTATTGCGTGTACATGTATGTACATTCTTTACATTCTTGCCGTGGGGGCTTCATTTTTTTCATACCATGGGGGCTCAGCGCGCACCAGTTGGGACTTTAAAAACCCTATGAGCTTCACAGATTTCACTGATCCATGGGCATGTGGGCAGGGTGCTTGGCCCCCATAGCCCCCCCCCCCAGTAAAAGCCTCTGACAGCCGCCATTGGACTATAATTGTTTTATTGTTTGAGTAGGAAAATTCAGTAAACTACGACGTTATTATAATTTTTGAGACAATAATGACTGAAAGTGTCCCTAAAAATAGTTGACAAAACTAAAATGTCCAAACCTCGTAAAACTTCGACCTCAAATCTGTTCTATCCATGTATTGTGTCGGACAAGGATGAAAATGTGAGTGGGAGTTAAAAAGGAAAATAAAAACAATTTTAACGAGACTTTGGTATTTTAAGGGATTTTCAAGTTTAAGAGCTTATTCCGAATATCCAATGAAGACACTTTTGATTTCTTGCTTAATCCACTCTGTTTTGGATATAGTACAGAAAAATTAAAAACCAGTTTTTCAAAATTAGAAAGTTCCTCCCGTAATTCTGTATAGTAATCTAAAATGGCGCGCAAAATTTCAAATTTCCGGGCTTCTGAAACGCGACTCTGATTGGTTGAATTTTATTCACTTTACAGGATACAGTACAATATTAGGTTCGTCTCGAGATTAAGAAAAAGAGAAGATCAAGCATTGATCTCGATATCCACTATTCTAAAGTTCCATGCAAGCTCAGGTCACTTTTTTTTAGAAAACCACGGACATTTCATGCATACATTTCTTTACCGGAAAAAGCTGTTAAGAGTATCGTTGTGGATTGAACATGTCAATCTAAAAAATGGAGTCATTTGAAATTACGACTTAGGTACTTTCAAGCCTGAAAAAAGTTGGTATAATAAAATTTTAAATTCTGTAGTTTTTACTAAAATTGCAAAATAACTAAAAAAATATTCTGCAGTGCAAGAATTGACGATTTCTAAATGTAAGGTTAGCCAAGCGATTAGGTATTTCTTTATGCATAAAAGGACATACATGTTTAAGATTAAACTATCTATCTGTCTACTCCTGTATCGTCGAGTCCCGCACTAATATAGATTTTCATGAAAAATATGCAAATTGAAGTCATAATGTTAAGGTTTTATTAGATTGGGTTGGTTCCGCAATTTTCCTCTCCGCCCTTTTCTATCCGTTCTATATCGACCCAACCCACTCTAGATCTTTCATTTATATTCAATTAGAACTGTTTCCGGTAGAAACGTCCAGATGCAAATCTACTGAACTGCTATAGAGTCAAAAAGTTTCATTAAAAATCTACTATTTTTTAATGTCTTCCCTTAACTCTTCCCATTTTATCCTTAGTGTCTTTTCTCTTCTTTACTACTCCTTCACGCCCTTCTTTCTTGGTTAGAATATTCTTCCTTATCCACCACCTTCCTTCCCATACCTTCCTTCCCATACCTTCCTTCCCATACCTTCCTTATCCACACCTTTCTTCCCATACCTTCCTTCCCATACCTTCCTTCCCATACCTTCCTTCCCATACCTTCCTCCCCCCTCCCCTCCCCTCACACAGGCAGCACATAGAAATATGATTTTCTTTTTCTCACCCAACCCCCCTTACTCCTAATTGTTGCATGATACAACAGGAAACCACTCCAGTACTCTAAACACACCCTGAGCTACAGAGACGTCCTGACAAGGAAGGACTGAGTATATAAATCTATCTGTGGAGACCACGCCCCTAGGTTTCCTATTGACAAGATGTTATTCTGCTCCAGATATGTAGATTAGTAGACACAACCTTGGAACTTTTTACATCATCATTCAACACATTTATCTATCTATTTTTATGCAGATTTATTATATATTTGACTGGTAGAATTTCAGTGTATTTGGCACCAAATATTCTAAGCGAAAATCTAAATTTTTAGTTTTTCATGCATATTTTGAAAATCTTTCTGTATTTTAAAAATAAATTTAAAAGTACGATGTCTAAATTTTTATGGCGACATTTTGCTGTTGCGACTTGTGCAAAGAACAAATGAAACCCTTTCCGACGCCCCCCCCCCCCAAAAAAACAAAATGAGAGAGAAAACTCATTCTATGTTTGTTTTGAATCTACAAATCTGTTAATTTTTTTGCGAAAAACAATACCGTGGCGTAACGTTCGTATTCCTATAAACTAAGGTTTTTTTTTGCAAGTTCTCTATGTTTTAGGTTGGTAAGTTTTGTATGTTTTAGGTCGACAAGTTCTCCATGCTTTAGGTTGGTAAGTTTTGTATGTTTTAGGTCGGCAAGTTCTCTATGTTTTAGGTTGGTAAGTTTTGTATGTTTTAGGTCGACAAGTTCTCTAGGTTTTAGGTTGGTAAGTTTTGTATGTTTTAGGTCGGTAAGTTCTCTATGTTTTAGGTTGGTAAGTTTTGCATGGTTTAGATCGACAAGTTCTCTATGTTTCAGGTTGGTAAGTTTTGCATGTTTTAGGTCGGCAAATTCTCTATGTTTTAGGTTGGTAAGTTTTGTATGTTTTAGGTTAGTAAGTTCTGTATGATTTAGGTCTATAGGTTCTGTATGTTTTAGGTTACTAAGTTCTGTATGCTTAAGGTTACTAAGTTCTGTATGTATTAGGTTGGTAAGTTCTGTATGTATTAGGTTGGAAAGTTTTGTATGTTTTAGGTTGGTAAGTTTTTTATGTTTTAGGTTGGTAAGCTCTGCATATTTTAGGTTACTAAGTTCTTTATGTTTCAGGTCTATAGATTATGTATGTTTTAGGTTGGTAAGTTCTGTATGTTTTAGGTCTATAGGTTCGGTATGTTTTATGTTTCCAAGAATAAGTTTTCATCTATTAAGTTGTCATGAACAAAATCTTCTAAAACAACGAATATCTGTCTTGTATAAAATGTGTTAACTGTAAACAAGATTTATCTCTGCTTTAAAAAAATGTGTTCCATTGTTTTAAAAATAATTCAGTTAATAGGCTGTCGTGAAGGATTGTAAAGGAAGGGTTGGGAGAGAAGGAATTATTGTGATATAAGATTAAAAGAAGATAGGAGTAAACTCTCTCAGGGTATTGTATAGAACTAGATTCAAGAATATAATGAGTTGTGAGAGTTTGAGAACCAGGGAATAAAGAGAATAATAAGATGAGTATCCATGAGAACCAGAAGAAGGATAACTATTTAAATACCAAAAATAACTGTTTCCTTCACCTCATCATAGTTTTTAGGCAATCAGGATCGGCGCTATGTCATTTGTCCTACACTCGATTATCTGGAAGTTATTTGTCCCACTAGCATTCTTCCTTCACGCCTAAGATTTTGACCCATTCCTATACCATAATTAGCCTTTAAACGTACTGAACAAGCCTTATTTTTTTTGACCCAACACGACCTTATCAGCCTAGTTCAGCAGGGTGAAAAGATTTTATAAATATAACGTGAGTTGTATTTATGTCCAACAATAATTTGTCAAACAATGATTTGTCCTACAACTATTCGTCCTACAATAATTTGCCCTACAACTGTTTGTCCTAAAACTATTTGTCCCACAATAATTTGTCCTACAATGATTTGTCCTTCAACTATTTGCCATAGAATAATTTGTCCTACAATGATTGCCCTAAAAATATTTGTCTTACAATAATTTGTTCTTCAACTATTTGTCTTACAACTTTTTGTCCTATAATGACTTTTCCTGCAATAATTTTTCCAACAGTAATTCGTTCTAAAATGATTTTTCCTACATTTATTAGTCTTTTAATGATTTGTCCTCCAATGATTTGTCTTTTAATGATTTGTCCTCCAATGATTTGTCTTTTAATGATTTGTCCTCCAATGATTTGTCTTTTAATGATTTGTCCTTCGATGATTTGTCTTTTCATGATTTGTCCTCCAATGATTTGTCCTCCAATGATTTGTCTTTTAATGATTTGTCCTCCAATGATTTGTCCTTTAATGATTTGTCCTCCAATGATTTGTCCTACGTGAACCTACAATAGCTTATCCTGCTCCTGTATTTTGTGTAAAAATATTACCCTGAGATCCTGGAGTGAGTTGATGGCTGTGGTTGGGAAGGTTGTGAGGAGGTTGTTCAGTAAACTCAGAGAACTGAGGCTCTTGTTCACCTCCTGGAACACTGACTCATCCAGGCGCTGGATTACGTTCCTCTCCAGGTTCAGGGCTGTCAAGGAACCCATTCCTGCCAGATCGGTTCTTGATAACTCTTGTATATGGTTCTGTGCCAGGTCTAGGAACGCCAGGCCTCCGAGGTTCTTGATCGCTGGAGGAAAGGTTTTGAGATGACATCCCTTCAGGTTTAGATTCTTCAAGGACTGCTCTAATCCGGCCAGAGAATCGTCGGCCAAGGTCACGTTGTTGTCCGAAAGTTTTAACGTTTTTAATCTGAGGGTCACAAAGGCATTACTGGGTAGGAACCTGATATTGTTGTTGGAAAGATCCAGAGAGCTCAGGATACGAAGGGTTCGGAGGGTTTCCACAGGGACGGAGTCAAGTTCATTATCCGCTAGGTTCAAACCCTGGAGAGTATCCTCCAGGCCCCGGAAAGCGTTCTGAGATATAGATTCCAGGTCCGCGTTTGAGATCTGGATATTACTGATCTTAAGACCTCGAAACATACCGTCATCCAACCTGCTGACGGCGCTGTTGTTAACATACACCATGTCTATGGGGGACTCACGAGCATACTCACGCAGCGCTGCAGTTAGTACTGTGAAGTTGACGGCCGAGCATTGAACAGTCAGCTCCTTAATAAATAATACAATTTTAGTCACATAATTATGATGATAGTGATAATAATAATAATAATAGTAATATTAATAACAATAATAATAACAATAATAAAAATAATAATAAGAGATAGATTGATAGCACAAAGACAGGATGTCTGTAGCTCGACTAGCTGTGGGTCACGACCCCAGGGACACTGCGCTACTGCAGGACTACCTGGAGAAACCAGGAGCAGGGTTACTAGTCCTAGTGGATATCCTACTCCAACCCCACGGTATCCAATCATCCTGCAAATAGGTTTGGTTCCGATTCACTCAATCATCTGAAAACAGAGTAAAAATTATTATTTGGATGAAAAAAGGGTGGGAGTAGAGTTTGTATAAATTTGACTGTTAAAATAAAACTTTTTTGTTGTAATTAATGTAAAGGAATTGAGCCTTTGTCACAAACCCTGATTTTCTGATTCCTTTATCTATGCGACCCGATGTCGCATACCCTAGATACTTCAAACTATGAATTCCGCTACATCAAAAATTGTAATTTTGAAATATCAAAGGTTTACGCTATCTGGTTGCAAAGATTAGAAAATTTAAGTTTGTGGTAAGTACTCAATTTCTTTAAGAATTTGTAAAAAGGATTCAATTTTTTTTTTGTAATATTTAGCCATTTTTTTATTTGTTTACATGGGAATTACATGACGACATAAAAATCGTCACATCGTGTTTGTTCCGAGTGGGATTATTTCTTAAATATGATTTTGCAATATCACAGTTAAAACATTTCACACCGAAAGCTACTAGCCTTGGGATTTCCAAAAATTGTTCACCTTCAAAATTGACGGAGATATCAGGAAATTTGTCCAGATTCCGATTTATTAAAAATCAACAAAACTGTTCAAATGTTTAATATCTCCGTCAATTTTAAAGATATACAAAGAAGGTAGACCACATTTTGGAAAGCTCATTAGAAGTTCAATCCTTATTTGATGCACATAATGTCATTTATTAATTATCGGAAATCAAAGACGATATTACAGTTTCTCAATTCTCATGTTTAATGGGACACCCTGTATCTGAACGAAGTTTTTGTTCAGCTTAAAGCTGAAAAAATGGAACCCCAAGCCAAGTTTGATGAAGAGCAAGATGATATATAACTTTTTTACAGTGATTTTTAAATATGAATTTGAATGACATGAATATAGAACAGTTAAAAAAAACATGGTGAATTTATAAAAATAAATTCCAAAACTTTTTTCTTTTTGTAAATTAGTCACTCAGCGTGTACAATGCCAGTGTACAGTCTGGTATTCACAAAAATCATTAATAACAACGCTACAAATATATATTCCAAACAGAGAAATATTCTAAAAATAATGATATTTTGATATTTGATGCACAGAGTGCCTGGATAAAATATAGATCTCCAAAATATATTTCTAGAAAAGGAAGAATTCGAAGAACAGAAATGTTATATTTTATCAATATTCCGTTCCAACTCAAATAACTCTTGGCAAAGTTAAAATATATTCTGTATTTAAAACCCTGTTATCCGAGTTGGANTTTAAAGTTTGAAACCGTTATGATGTTATATGAAGGCATAATTAGAGCTTACCAATAAAAGAATATTTGTAACAAAGGAAAGATTCAGATTAAGTTCAATTTAGTTTAATTAAAAAAATTTAACGTCTTAATTATTTCAAAGTTTAAACGATCCTATCGCTAAAATTTTAAGATTACTAAAATTGATGTATCTTAATTTTTGTTAAAGTTACATTAAAAAGTTTTCAAATTTTAAGACAATGTTTATAATCATGAATATGTGTAGCCAGTGTAGCCTGTGGTATTAACGATTAAGAATAAACTGATTTCTTATATCTTAGTTCTGGTTGAGTAAAGTTAGGATGTATTTACTCCGTACTCAGGATACATTTACTCAGGGTACATTTACTCTATACTCAGGATACATTTATTCCGTACTCAGGATACATTTACTCTATACTCAGGATACATTTACTCTATACTCAAGATAAATTTACTCTGTACTCGAGACTCATTTACTCTGTACTCAGGGTACATTTGCTCTGTACTCCGGATTCATTTACTCTGTACTCAGGAATCATTTACTCTGTACTCAGGATACATTTACTCTGTACTCAGGATACATTTACTCCTTACTCAGGATACATTTACTCTGTACTCAATATTCATTTACTCTGTACTCAGGATTCATTTACTCTGTACTCAAGATTCATTTACTCTGTACTCAAGATTCATTTACTCCGTACTCAGGATACATTTACTCTGTAATCAGGATACATTTACTCCGTACTCAGGATACATTTACTCTGTACTCAGGATAAACACACACCATAATCAGGAGTAATAGCTGAGAAAGCTTGAAGAGTAAACAGCGTATAATAGCTTGGAAATTATGCCATATGTCACACTTGATCAATCTCTAAATACTAGAACAGAGGACAGGAACAGGTTAGATATGTTTAATTGTATACCAGGAAGAGAGTTCCTTAGCCCGATTACGCCTTCTTCATCTCAAATCTACAGACAGTTTTCCACGTCATGAATCTTGTTCAGTATTATTTGCTCTACTCAAGAACTTGCTGTTATTATCTTTATTCATACTTCATAGAAAAATAGTTGATGGATTCTATCAAAAGTATTTAAGAAATTCGGAGAGAAACAAGAGTTCTCCGGGTATGTTTAGATACTAGCTGCAAGGATACGGTTCTGCTAGAAGAGACACAGTAAGACGCTGGTTTCTAATTATTCACATTTATGTCGTCTGAAGGACTAAACCTTGACGTAATTCATTCCAATAGATGAGGTTTAATTAAATCAGTGATAGAATATTTTAGAGTAGATTAGAATAGAACGGATCCTTAGAGTATGAAAAAACCGGTACCTTGAGTATGAAAGAACAGGTATCTAGAGTAGGATAGAACAGGTATCTAGAGTAGGATAGAACAGGTACCTAGATTAGGATAGAACAGTTACCTAGAGTAGGAAAAAACAGGTACCTAGAGTATGAAAGAACAGGTATCTAGTGTAGGATAGAACAGGTACCTGGAGTTGGATAGAACAGGTACCTAGAGTAGGAAAGAACAGGTATCTAGAGTAGGATAGAACAGGTACCTAAAGTAGGATAGAACAGGTACCTAGAGTAGGATAGAACAGGTACCTAGAGTAGGATAGAACAGGTATCTAGAGTAGGATGAACAGGTACCTAGAGTAGGATAGAACAGTTACCTAGAGTAGGAAAAAACAGGTACCTAGAGTATGAAAGAACAGGTACCTAGAGTAGGATAGAACAGGTATCTAGAGTAGGATGAACAGGTACCTAGAGTAGGATAGAACAGGTACCTAGAGTAGGATAGAACAGGTACCTAGTGTAGGATAGAGCAGATACATTTAGTAGGATAGAACAGGTAAATAGAGTAGGATAGAACAGGTACCCAGAGTAGAAAAGAACAGTTACATATAGTAAGATAGAACAGGTTCCTAGAGAAAGATAGAACAGATACCAGGAGTAGGATAGAACAGATACCTGGAGTAGGATAGAAAAGGTACCTAGAGTAGAAAAGAACAGTTACATATAGTAAGATAGGACAGGTTCCTAGAGAAAGATAGAACAGATACCAGGAGTAGGATAGAACAGATACCTGGAGTAGGATAGAAAAGGTACCTAGAGTAGGATAGAACAGTTACCTAGAGAAAGATAGAACAGGTACCTATACTAGGATAGAACAGATACATAGAGTAGGATAGAACAGATACATAGAGTAGGATAGAACAGATACATAGAGTAGGATAGAACAGATACCTGGAATAAGATAGAACAGGTACCTGGAGTAGGATAGAACAGATAACTTTAGTAGGATAGAGCAGGTATCTAAAGTAGGATTGAACTGGTACCTAGAGTAGGATAGAACAGTTATCTAGAGTATGACAGAACAGGTACCTAGAGTAGGAGAGAACAGTTATCTAGAGTAGGATAGAATAGATACCAATGAGGAAGAAGTGTAACCACAGTTCTGGCAAAAAGACCCTAATTGACCAAAACATGTCTGAATCAACACGTCCCTAACCCAAGTTAAATAAGAGGATGAACTTGTGTCAGCTTAGATGATTATTGATGGTTAGTTGGGCGGAGACTTTGGGGTTTGTTCACCAAACTTTTTTGTTCTATTGGATATTCCCCCCCGACCCCCCCCCGTTTTGAAAAGTAACATTTTGTACTTCTTCACAAAAATCAAAACTTTTGAATTTTGATGTTAAATCTTCAACCTTTATTGAACACAATTCAAAAGTAAATTTAGCCTAGGATAAAACATTTTAATAGAACTCGTTTCTTAGTAAATCCGTGTTAAACACACGTAAAGAACACTTTTATAATATATCTTCTTCTCATTAAATCGTAACATTCTTTTTTAAAACATTTAGGACTAGGTACGCTGCTGAACACATTTAAGGCTGAGAAGGCTACTGAACACATGCACGCTGTTAAACACATTTAGGATTGGGCACGCTGCTGAATAGATTAAAACTGAGAAGGCTACTGAACACATGCACGCTGCAAAACACATTTAGGATTGGCAACCTGCTAAACACATTTAAGACTGAGAAGGCTACTTACTAAACACATGCACGCTGATGAACACATTTAGGACTGAGAGTGAGAAGGCTGCTTAACACATGCACCCTGCTGAACACAAGAAGAGCTGGGCACGCTACTAAACATATTTAGGACTGGGCACACTGCTGAACATATTTAGGGCTGGGCAGGCTGCTGAACATATTTAGGGCTGGGCACGCTACTAAACATATTTAGGACTGGGCACACTGCTGAACATATTTAGGGCTGGGCAGGCTGTTGAACATATTTAGGACTGGGCACGCTACTAAACATATTTTGAACTGGGCACGCTGCTGAACATATTTAGGACTGGGCAGGCTGCTGAACATATTTAGGACTGGGCACGCTACTAAAAATATTTTGGACTGGGCACGCTACTAAACATATTTAGGGCTGGGCAGGCTGTTGAACATATTTAGGAAAAGGTACGCTACTAAACATATTTTGGACTGGGCACGCTACTAAACATATTTAGGACTGGGCACACTGCTGAACATATTTAGGGCTTGGTACACTGCTGAACATATTTAGGACTGGGCACGGTACTAAACATATTTTGGACTAGGCACGCTACTAAACATATTTTGGACTGGACACGCTATTAAACATATTTAGGACTTGGCACACTGCTGAACATATTTAGGGCTGGGCACACTGCTGAACATATTTAGGTCTGGGCACGCTACTAAACATTTTTTGGACTGGGCACGCTACGAAGCATATTTTGGACTGGGCAAGCTACTAAACATATTTTGGACTAGGCACGCTACTAGGACTGGGCACACTGCTGCACATATTTTGGACTGGGCACACTGCTGAACAAATTTTGGACTGGACACGCTACTAAACATATTTAGGGCTGGGTACACTGCTGAACATATTTTGGACTGGTCACGCTACTGAACATATTTAGGGCTGGGCAGGCTGTTGAACATACTTTGGACTGGGCACGCTACTAAGCATATTTTGTACTAGGTACGCTACCAAACATATTTAGGACTGGGCAGGCTGCTGAACATACTTTGGACTGGGCACGCTACTAAGCATATTTTGTACTAGGTACGCTACCAAACATATTTAGGACTGGGCACGCTGCTAAACCTATTTAGGACTGGGCACGCTGCTGAACACATTTAGGACTGGGCACGCTACTAAACCTTTTTAGGACTGGGCACGCTGCGGAACATATTTTGGACTGGGAATGCTACTGAACATATTTAGGGCTGGGCAGGCTGCTGAACATATTTAGGGCTGGGCACGCTGCTGAACATATTTAGGACTAGGCACGCAACTAAACCTATTTAGGACTGGGCAAGCTGCAGAACATATTTTGGACTGGGCACGCTACTGAACATATTTAGGGCTGGGCAATCTGCTGAACATATTTAGGGCTGGGCAAGCTGCTGAACATATTTAGGGCTATGCACGCTGCTGAACATATTTAGGGCTGGGCACGCTGCTGAACATATTTAGGACTAGGGACGCTGTTGAACACATATAGAGCTGGGCACGCTTATGAACATATTTAGGACTGGGCACGCTGCTGAACATATTTTGGACTTGGCACGCTACTGAACATATTATGGACTTGGCACGCTACTAAAGTAAATACTCACTTAATCCTTCTTTAAAAGGAACCCTTTCTTAGTTAGATTGTCAATTATTGTCAATCATTGTCAATTTTTGACAATTATTGACAATCTCAAATGTTAATAAATGGAATTTAGGTTTTGAACTTCGGAATGTGAAGATGACCGCTAGACTCCGATGAACTTAAAACACAGTGATTGTTCTATTTTTCTTAATGAGTAAGTTTTCAATATACTGTTAAAGTTATTTGTTTTTAAGGAACACAAAAAAACACATAAAATTGTCGTCTTCCCATTTCAAAGTTTCATAGATCTCACTGTATATTCCCCCTGAAACATTAGTCGAAATTTCTAAGATTAGAAAAATATAACAGTTTGAACCCTTAATCAATGTAAAGCTTGCTCCGGAACATAAGTCAGGGAATAACCACGGGGACAGAAAATAAAAGTTTAAAATATTGTCATACAAAATCTTTATGTCTAAACATTGATTTTTAAAGCATATATTTTTAGAATTATTTTACTCTTCTTCTAACCCTAACTTTCTAAAGAGATGCTTTTTTATCTTGACTTTTAGTTTCCGGTTTCAATGCACCAGGCTTAAAGATTTCTCCTGGATTTCCCTGAGAAAAGATCCTATCAGGAGAACCTAGAGAGAACCTAGAGAAAACCTTGAGAGAACTTAGAGAACCAAAACACCAGATATTAGAGTCCCTGGATAATTTAAAACCCCTAAAGAACTACATAGAAGCCCAGAATACCAGAAGTTAAGGTCCTTGGCTAAAGTGAAACCAGGCTGAAACCTCGGTAGAAGCTAGAGAATATCGGTCCCTGGAAGCTTGAAACCCCAAAAGAACCAGAGACCTAGAATATCAGAAATACAGTTCCCTGGTAACTTCAAACAACCTGGAGAAGCTAGAGAATCAGAATACCGGCAATAAAGGTTCCTGGATAGCCTGATAAACCAGGAGAAGCTAGAGAATCAGAATACCGGAAATAAAGGTCCCGGGATAGCCTGATAAACCAGGAAAAGCTAGAAAACCAGAATACCAGGAATAAAGAATAAAGAATAAAGAATAGCCTGATAACCCTGGAGAAGCCAGAGAACCAGAATACCGGAAATAAAGGTTCCGGGATAGCCTGATAACCCAGGATAAGCCAGAGAACCAGAATACCAGAAATAAAGGTCCCTGGAAAACCTGATAAACCAGGAGAAGCCAGAGAACCAGAATACCAGAAATAAAGGTCCCGGGATAGCCTGATAAACTAGGAGAAGCTAGAGAACCAGAATACCAGGAATAAAGGTCCCGGGATAGCCTGATAAACCAGGAGAAGCTAGAGAACCAGAATACCAGAAATAAAGGTCCCGGGATAGCCTGATAAACCAAGAGAAGCTAGAGAAACAGAATACCAGGAAGAAAGGTTCCTGGAAAACCTGATAAACCTGGAGAAGGTAGAGAACCAGAATGCCATGAAGAAAGGTCCCTAAATAACCTGATGAACCTGGAGAAGGTAGAGAACCAGTATACCAGGAATAAAGGTCCCTGGATAGCCTGATAAACCTGGAAAAGGTAGAGAACCAGAATACCAGGAAGAAAGGTCCTTAGAAATCTCAATAAACCAGGAGAAGCCAGAGAACCAGAATACCAGGAATAAAGGTCCCTGGAAAACCTGATAAACCTGGAGAAGGTAGAGAACCAGAATACCAGGAATAAAGGTCCCTGGATGGCCTGATAAACCTGGAAAAGGTAGAGAACCTGAATACCAGGAAGAAAGGTTCCTAGAAAACCTGATAAACCTGGAGAAGGTAGAGAACCAGAATACCAGGAATAAAGGTCCCTGGATGGCCTGATAAACCTGGAGAAGGTAGAGAACCTGAATACCAGGAAGAAAGGTCCCTTGAAAACCCAATAAACCAGGAGAAGCCAGAGAACCAGAATACCAGAAATAAAGGTCCCGGGATAGCCTGATAAATCAGGAGAAGCCAGAGAACCAAAATACCAGAAATAAAGGTACCAGAGAACCAGAACACCAGGAATAATAATTTATAAAGTCTAAACAGTCTTGTGAACTTGGAAAATCAAAAGAACCTAAAAATCAACAGAACCTGAAGAATCTACAAAAGCTAGAGAATCTACAGAACCGGAGAATATTCAGAACCGAGAGAATCTATAAAACTTGGAAAATCTTCAGAACCTGGAGAATTTGTAGAATCTGGAGAATCTGTAGAATCTGGAGAATTAACCAAACCTGGAGAATCTACAAAACCTGAAGAACTAATAGAACTTACAGTCAGAGAATTTTCGGAACCTGAAATTCTCCCAAGGAAACAAAAAACTGAGAAATAGTGGATTTAAGAAGAAGAAGATTTAAGATGAAACTGGAGCTATATGATCTAACACCTAATCTGTGAAAATCCAAGTTCGATAGATTCCGACATCTGTAGTCACCAGTTTCCTCCATATGTTAACGTATCCCGTGCTAAATTAAGCAATCACAGGTGCAAATGAAAACCGTAAAAATCGCTAAAAAATAGAAATAATGCCACTCTGAGATTATCTAAAAATGGTTGAAAGATTGTCAGACTAGATTTAACTGTTTTGTGAATTGATAATAAACCCAGGTGAGAGCAGGAAGGGAGAATATAACTGTATCCTGGACCAGACGTAAACAGATCAAACCCAACCCTGCTCTCTTCTCATCCCATGCTGGATAGAACCATATTCAAGCAGTTTCTTAGGTTTCTCCACCTTAGGTCATTTAGCTGATTAGCAGGAGGTGAGGAGGGGGGGTACTGTTAGAAACTAAGGACTGCATGGTGTTCTAATATTTAATATTTTAAAGGGGATCTTCGTTCTTTTGGTACTTTTTGGTTTTAAGAAAACGAAATATTAACCTTTTTGTAATCTATGTACATAAACAAGATATCTACAAATATTCATATAAAAAAATTTTCAATTCAATTCTTTTTATCTAACCACATTCTGATATAGGGTTTACATGTAAAACATGTATTTGCGCATTTTTATCATAAAAAATTAGCGGATTGGCTTGGCAGAGCTTTAAATAGTTTTTAAAAACAAATACGAGTATTAGATAATATTTTTGAGGAAATGAAAGGGAACAGAAAGGATTGTCAGCTCTTTGTTTGATATTCAAAGAAATATGTAGACATTCTCAAAAATCTTCTATAAATATAATATTTGTTTATTTTATTCGCGTCATCTGGCTTTATTGTAGAGAACAAATGTTAATTCAAAACATATCATGACATTCTATATTTTTCATGTTCAATTTTAGAATTAATCAAAATAAGTGTTTGTAATAAGTACAGGGTTATCCACAAAAAATAAAACTTTTTTGACGACCTGTTTCAAATGTTTAAATTTCGTCATCTGCATTAAATTTAAATATCGGCATGTACAGTGTACACTGTACATCTGTAAGGAATGCACGAAAAACCTGAAACAGATTCTACAAAGTTTTCTTTAAAGTCTTATTCCTTGTGGACAACCCTGTTTTTTGTCGTTTTTTAACACTGAATGTTTTGTATTGAGGTGTCAGTATACCTATTAAACCTTAAACTAGGATTGAAAGGAAGAAGCGTCTAGAGCACACGAACTCACGTCTGTCCTGTCTCACGGCTGGGTTCCGACTGATTATTTCCTCCGCGGAGAAAACAAATCTTAAACCATCCCAGTACTACTCCACCTGAGCTTGGAGATAGCAAATATATCTAGGATTACTGTTTTATGAGGAGAGTTGAGCAGCTGGGCAGATATCTGAACTAAATATATAGGATCTTTTTTTTTCTTAAAGATTTAGATATATGGTTTATTACAATGATGAAAAATATGATTTACAAATAAAATATGTCGAGGTACGATCTTTCTCAAAGATCTTATTTTTTGATCCTAACATTAGGTTAAAAAAAAATTAAAAACCTCTAGTTTGAGGCGAGTAATCGATTCCTTTGTTTTCAATATTTTTAAACAACCTAACCGTCCATTCGACCTCTACTTTGTTGTAAGTGGAGATTATCTGAAGGAAATTTCGGAGTTATTTTCAGGAAAAGCTAAAAATAGATCTAAGTTCTCTGTTTATTATTAGTCATGATAAAACCACGAACCTTTACACACACAACCATCCTTCTCATCCTCATTCTTCCCCTCGTCCGGCCCGCCCCCATCCCTCAACCCCTCCCCCCCGCCCTGGCCCAGGGGTTAATCGCAGGGTTAACCCTTTTTCATGCTGGAATCATTGCGTATGCTGTTCATCAGGAGACTCAGGAAGATTCTATCAAATATATAGGTATTCCAGGGGTTCCGTATGATATATAGGCATTCCAGGGGCTCCGTAGATATAGGTATTCCAGGGGTTCCGTATATATATAGGTATTCCAGGGGTTCCGTAGATATATAGGTATTACCGGGGTTTCGTAGATATATAGGTATCCCAGGGCTTCAGTAGATATATAGGTATTCCAGAGGTTCCGTAGATATATAGGTATTCCAGGGGTTCCGTGGATATATATGTATTCCAGGGGTTCCATTGATATATAGGTATTCCAGGGGTTCCGTAGATATATAGGTATCCCAGGGCTTCCGTAGATATATCGGTATTCCAGGGGTTCCGTAGATATATAGGTATCCCAGGGCTTCAGTAGATATATAGGTATTCCAGGGGTTCCGTAAATATATAGGTATTCCAGGGGTTCCGTAGATATATAGGTATCCTAGGGCTTCAGTAGATATATAGGCATTCCAGGGGTTCCGTAGTTATATAGGTATTCCAGGGGTTCCGTAGATATATAGGTATTCCAGGGGTTCCGTAGATATATAGGTATTCCAGGGGTTCCGTAGATATATAGGTATTCCCGGGGTTCCGTAGATATACAGGTATTCCAGAGGTTCCGTAGATATATAGGAATTCCTGGGGTTCTGTAGATATATAGGTATTCCAGGGGTTCCGTAGATATATAGGTATTCCCGGGGTTCCGTAGATATATAGGTATTCCAGAGGTTCCGTAGATATATAGGTATTCCAGGGGTTCCACGATGGGATCGTTCTTGATCGTTCCGTTCGTTCTCGGCAAAGAACGATCGTTCCACCGTTAACGCGCCCAGCCCTATTCCTGGGGTTCTGTAGATATATAGGTATTCCAGGGGTTCCGTAGATATATAGGTATTCCTGGGGTTCCGTAGATATATAGGTATTCCAGAGGTTCCGTAGATATATAGGTATTCCAGGGGTTCCGTAGATATATGGGTATTTCCGGGGTTCCGTAGATATATAGGTATTCCAGAGGTTCCGTAGATATATAGGTATTCCAGGGGTTCTGTAGATATATAGGTATTACCGGGGTTCCGTAGATATATAGGTATTCCAGGGGTTCCGTAGATATATAGGTATTCCAGGGGTTCCGTAGATATATAGGTATTTCAGGGCTTCAGTAATTTTACAAGACTTCTCATATTAATTAATAAAAGAATCTATTTAAGATCTAATATTTATTTGAAATTTTTATGTTTAAGGAGAAGGATTGAAAAACTATGATGACATACAACCCATTCTACAGAACCTTCCAGAGTTTGCAGAATAGAGCAGTTGAACTAAACCCTAAGAAATCCTTCCTAATGATAAAATTTAGAAACATGATCCACTGAACACAATTCTCCTCAAAAAGAGAAAACGCCCCAAAGAAAATAATGTTCAAAAAAAGAGCCAAATTTTCAAACATTCGTGAAAAATTTTAACTTTAACCTTATTGCTACAGATATAAAGTATTTTACTGAAATTTTTCACAAATGACTTTTCTCTTAAGATCCAACAACTTTGCAGAATTAAAGATTTGTTAAGAAAGATAAAACAAAATATGTTGAAAATAAAACTTTCTGTGATATGTATGTATTGCGTATAATGTAAAATAAATATCATTTATCTACCTATTTATTCATTTTCTAAGAAAATCCAGAAAAATCTCAGAATAACGGATAAATGAGCGATTACATTCAGATTTAAGCAAGATATATTGATTAAATAAATATCTACATAACATTTTTAATATCTCTGTCAGGGGGTGGAAACGTCATGTGTGTGTGTCTGTACCTAAATAGTGTGTGTAAGGAATACAGAACCGAAGGTGTGTACTGTAGGTATATACAGTGGCATAAGAATCTCGGTATTTGTACAGTCTAGGAGAGTACATTTATTTATTGTTAATTGTTTACTTAAAAATAAGTTTAATATACATGTAATACATTATTTAATTTATGTCAACACTATAAGCCAAATTTTCATGCAAAGAATATAATTTGGTTAAAGTTTACAATAAACTACTCGTTATTCAAGCTTAATTATAATTGACGACATTGTTCTGCAATTTCCTTGACTTTAGTCATGTTGTGTGTCTGTACCAAAAGAGTGTGTGCAAGAAATACCGAACTCGTCTGCAAAGCAGTGCGACTGGGTTTCTTATGCCAGACCAGCGCCATCTCCTTTCCCTTTATTCCTATTCCCTGATCTCTGGTAGTTCTGAATCCAGAGCATTCAGAGCTTCACAAATTTGAAAAAATGCATTATATTTAGGAAATACAAAAATAGAATAATATTTATGAATGGTGTATTTGAGAATCCATATATAAAGTATACTTTAATGACTCCTCCTGTATAAAAGTACTCTTTATATATCTGCTTCAAGATGAATGTTTTACAATATTTGAATCCTCCTGTATAAAAGTACTTTTTATCTGTCTTCAACATGTATGTTTTACAATATTTGAAGCCTCCTGCATAAAAGTACTTTTTATCTGGCTTCAAGATGTATGTTTTGCAATATTTGAATCCTCCTGTATAAAAGTACTTTTTATCTGGTTTTAAGATTTATGTTTTACAATATTTAAATCCTCCTGTATAAAAGTACTTTTTATCTGGCTTCAAGTTGTATGTTTTACAATATTTGAATCCTCCTGTATAAAAGTACTTTTTATATATCTGGCTTCAAGATTTATCTTTTACAATATTGAAGGTGAAAGGTGTCAATGAATTAATTAATATATTTTTTAATGAAATTTTGCGGCCAAATAATGATTTTTTTAACCTGTCACAAGATTTGTAAAACTTAACGTACTTAATACTTTAAAATATATTTTTTTAAACCCTTTAAACCTTTCACGGCTGGGGGGGGGGGGGTTTTTTCCCCCCCCCCCCAATGGTTTTTCTAATTAACTTAAACACGGCTTACATTAGAACGCTAAAACATCAAAGTAGCCAAATATTTTTTTTTATGCAAAGGGTAGGTTGGAGATGATGGTAGGCTTTGAAAAAGTAATGTAAAACATTGATTATTTTTGTACCTTTTTCTGACGTACTTTTTGAACCCGAACCCTAACCATTAAAGTTAGAAGTCTAATCTTTTTAAATGGACTTAGGACATGTTTCCCCTATCTCAACTCTAAGGGCAAAATCAGCCCAGTCGGGATAAGGTTAAAGGCTAGCTGGGGCAAGGTTATAATGCAAGGAAAGTTATTTCAGAGGTGTACGCTTCTTTTTTACTGCAGTGTACTGTCACTGGGCGGTAATGTAAACACAAGACGGATGTCGAAGCCTTGACAAGCAGGGAATAAAAAATCAATGAAATATTCTGGTCATAGGAAACTATTATGTGAATTATCAAAAGTATCAAATTTAATGCTTTTAACTTTCTCGGATACTAAACGAACACATTAATGCATCTATTCTTGTTTACAAATTCCGCCCAGAGAGAACTGGTTTCAACATGTACGCAGAGTATACGCAACTGCAATTAACTTTCTTATCCTCCCACCTGGACTTAAGTTTTGTTCACCATAAAAATACACCAAAAAGACTACATTTTTGGGTGGTTGCTAACCTTATAGTCTAAAAATTATTCCTTTGCTTGAAAAACTAACCTTTCTAACCTTATAGAGTCTAAAAATTATTCCTTTGCTTGAAAAACTAACCTTTTAACTTCATAAAGGAGTTGGTCACAAAAGTACAAAAGTGTCAAAGGACAAAAGTGCCAAAGTGCAAAAGTGCAAAAGTGCAAAAGTGCAAAAGTACCAAAGTGCCAAAGTGCCAAAGTGCCAAAGTGCCAAAGGACAAAAGTACCAAAGTGTCAAAGTACAAAAGTACAAAAGTACAAAAGTGCCAAAGTGCCATAGTGCCAAAGTGCCAAAGTGCCAAAGTGCCAAAGTGCCAAAGTGCCAAAGTGCCAAAGTGCCAAAGTGCCAAAGTGCCAAAGTACAAAGTACAAAGTGCCAAAGTACAAAGTACAAAGTACAAAGTGTTTGGCACAAAGTAAAAAGTACAAAGTACAAAGTGCCAAAGTACAAAGTTCAAAGTACAAAGTACAAAGTACAAAGTACAAAGTACAAATCTCGGTATTTGTACAGTCTAGGAGAGTACATTTGTTTATCGTTAATTGTTTACTTAAAAATAAGTTT